TACACATTCACTCGTTCCCATCCAACCTTACTCACATGATCCAGCCCCTTGACTTGGTTATTTTCTCCTCGTTTAGGCAGTGTCTCTCAGATTTGCTACTCAAAGAGATACATGCCAATCCAAAGTTCAAAGTCAAGCCCGAGCACTATCTCTCACTGACCCATTATGCTTGGGACAAGAGTGCCTGTCAATCCAATGTCATGCAAGCATGGGTAAAGTCTGGTCTGATCGAATGGTCCCCTACCCAACCAAGAGACAAGCGATTTGTGCCAAAGAAGCGTAAGAGGTCCTCCAAGGCCCTCGTTGCCCAGCAATCCAAGGACCTGGCCATCATTGATCCAGAGAAATTGACCAAGAAGCAAAGGACAGTAGTGCTGCGCGACAAGAAGTCCACTGGCAACCTGATCACATCCAAGGAAACAAGGTATGTTTACACATTCATTCATTCTTAATTCAAATAACTCTAACATATCGCCAGTGGACTTGTAAATGTGCAATACGATGTAACAATCAAGGCCACAGGCGCTGGTTCACAGCCGGCCATCACAATGATCCAGAACAACCTCCAGGTCAACAACAATACCATGAATATCCAAAACAGCCATGGAACCAACACAATCACTCACACTGAGTCTACAACCCAGTCATCATCAAGCCAAATGGTGACAGATAGACCCAACATCATGCGCAACATCAAGAACTTCTTTGGTTTGTAATAAACAACAACAATTATTACCCGTTTATGTCTATCTATCAGTCATTGTCCTATGAATTTGACCCATAAAGAAATTACCCCCCGAAATTCTTGTTACCTCAGGTGGGTGTAACTTTACCTTTTTTGATTGATTGATTGAAAGCTGGATAGGGTAGTGTAACTCTATATCTCTCACTCCAAACTACTTTATTATTTGTAACTATTATTATATTATTATTATTATATTATATTGTATATGTTAAGGAAGGAAGGAAGTTATTTACAATTGTTGTATATTAGTGTAACGCGCTCGTGTATCATTGATTGATTGTTTGTTTGTTTGTTTGTATGATTGAATGAATGATTTGAATGATTGTATAGGGTGACTAGGTGATGTTAGAATCCACTTTCGATACTATCTATATAACTACTACTGCTGCCTCCACCACCATTGCCACCATTGCTATTACTAATGTTGCTTCCGTTGATGCTGCTGCCGTAGGAAGGTCCTCCCATGTGGTTGCCATTGGTGTCGTTATTTACATAGATTGGGGAATCGTCAAACAGACAAACTGATGCTATATATTGGTTCCTCATAATCTAAGTTGATGTAAGTATGGGATACCGTATAAAGGGTCTAATGGTCTGGACCAAACTTACTTCAAATATTATGCCTGGATAGCCGTAGAAGTAGGTGGAACCAAATGGATTGGATATGGAGCCACGGTTGTTGACTACAGGCTTGCCGGACTTGCCAAAGACGTTCTGGACCTCGTCCCACTTCATGTCGGGATGGATGAAGTGGATGGATGGGTCAATGACGGATGATTCGTTTCGATGCTGTTGCTGTTGCTGCTGAAGCTCAGACGACATTGCCACCAAGATTGGCGGGAGCATCAATGAAGGGTTCGATGGTGATGATGACAATGGTCCATTTGGATGTTGAAGATTGTTACTTAGTGCTTGTTGTTGCTGATGTTGTTGTTGTTTGTTTGTGTTTGTTGTTGTCGTGGTTGTAATTGATCGAGATCCACTGACACTGCCATTTACATTGCCATTTCCATTGACATTGCCATTGCCATTGATATTGCCATTGACATTGCTACTTGACGACGACGAGGAATCACCACCAAGCTCGGGCAATTGGGGGATGTTGTTTGGATCGATTGGAGGATGACCATTCTCCACTTGCTTGGCAGAGGGTGGTGCAACCTTGCCCTCGACCACATTCTTCAAAGCATCAAAGATGGCTTTTGAGTTGTCGCTATTGTCAAGTATCTTAAATGAGCATTTAGAGTATCTTTACAACAACCAAACAATCAGACAATGTTAGTACAATAAACAGCATCGATTGAATGAATGGATACATACAGGTTGAACTCATAGTGAGTTGGGAAGTTGGTGTGAAAGATATACTTCTTGGCAGTGTTACGCTTGGCGTCAAAGAGAATATCGATACCAAGATGGAAGTAGTTGTAGAAGTAGTCGGGTGCAGGAGAAAGCTCAACCTTGTAGGTGTGTATCTTCATGTTGTCCTCATCCTTGTGATAGATCTTTGAAGGTGGTCCGAGCTCACTAAGTACATCCTGTGGCGTGGACTTGAATGTCAATATACAATTCCTTCTGCAAAAGTAGACACCTGCGTTCGGCTACATATGGGTGATGGTGTTAGTCCTACATAGCGACCAAGGTCAGATGGATTGGGCTAAACATACCACAACAATGATGTCCTCATTTGGTGAAGGCATGACTGTGAGAGGTGTCTTCATCTGCAATCCACTATATACAAACACCTTGGAGACAACTGGTGTTGAGCCATCCGGTAGCTCCACGGGCAACTCTGTTCCTTCGCTGTATAATGAGTTAAACTTTGGTGGAATTGGGAAACTAAATGATAGGCCCTGTAGTTACACCTTGAGGTGTTAGTCATCAAGCGTACGCATGACCAATCAAACAACATACAGGATAGTGAAGGTGATAGACGTTCTTCTTGGCATTGAAGTCGCCTGGATATGATGGACCAAACTTGGAATAGATGTTCACGAACGAAGCAATGCTCTCACTATTGCTAAAGATTGATCCACGATAGCTTAGTGCCAGCTTTGATACGTCAAATATCTCGATCACCCTGAGTCGTTGTGAGGACGGTGCGAATCGTAACAGCACGCCATCATCCACCAACTTGAGAACTATGTCGATGCTAAGTGGATCCTATAAAGATTAGATTATTTAGATTGTTAGTATGTTGTTACCTGAACATGGATGGATGGATGCACAATTAATCAACATACAGAGTCATTAAAGATGATGTCCACTTTGTTGATGACAGCCACATTGTTATGTTTGATCACATTGAGTGCCTCGGAAATTGTCATTCCAAGGACAAAGTCACCCAGACTCTTGCCTGGTTGCAACTCTAGTTTTAGTTGACGTGACATTGTTGATCTAATCAATCAATGATGATGGTGATGTTGCTTCAACACAGGTAGACGCTACTACTACTACTCTAACTATCTATCTATCTATCTATCTATATCTATTTCCTTTGTCTTGGTTGATGCAACTATCTAACTATTTTCTCTCTTTGCCTGATGTAAGTATTCTACTACGACTATAACTATATGTTGGTTTATGCTTGTGTATATGTGTGTATATGTATACAAGCTCTATCTCTATCTATCTGTTTGGTTAACAAGTGAAGTGTGTTGTGCTTGTTTCCAAAGGTGTGAAGAATGTGCGAAGTGTTTGTTGTTGAGTGTGTGATACTAGTAGTTGCTCATGAGTGTGTATGAATGAGAATGTGGTGTTGTTGTTGTAAGATTGTTACCAAGGTTTGGGTGAACAACTCATCATCAACAATCTTCAACTTTACTTTGCTTCAATCTCAAGGAGAAATAAAAATTAAAATAAAATAAAATATGATTCTTTTTGGACTTGATTTCAATTGAATAAACAAGTTTCATTCTTTGATTGTTTGATTGACCCATTCAGTTATATTGTTGAGAGATAAAATACATTACTGATGATGAGGTTGTTTGGTTGACCCAGGGACAACTCCCATTTCAAAATGAAATCCAGGTTTGGGTTGATCATTTATCTTTTTTTTGCTCGATACAGATACAACATTATATATGATGTTAATACTTGACTCATTCAAGACTGAATGAATATATCACTATATCACCAATCGTTTAATAACATTTCAATCAATTAGTAATGGAGCAACAACAACAACCACAACAACAACAATCAAATGATGTTATATATCTTCAAGGTATAAACAGAGCATCATTGATCATTGATGATAATGTCAATGTGGATAGCATTGATATTCCTCGTATAGTCACGGCTGCAAACTCATTCGTCGGTAGCAAGGGATTGAATAGAGAACAAAAGGTGCTCAAACTCACTCAACTATGTCAGATTGAAATGGATCAGCTGTACGATTGCGAGACAACCAATGGTAGTAACCATGTCATATGTGATGCCCTCCAAGCACAACTGCACAACTGCATGACGAGCAAGCTGTGTCCGGGTGAGCAGGAGCTAAAGGCGGCCAACTGCGACAATGCCCATCTGTCATTAGGTGGCATCCAACAGTTCAACAAATGTATGCAGATCAATAAGAGATTGAACAACTGTCTAGAGGACAACCTGCTTATCATATGGTCCACTCCATTCAATATCAATAATAATAATAATAACAATAGTCCGTCATTGTCATGACAATTAATCATTATAATCATCAAGTGTTGGTGTTATTACTACTACTACTTATTGGATCGTGGCGACTGTCCTGCAACTGTTGGAGCAGCAGCAGTAGTGGAATACCAATGATCCACCAATTGATTGTACTCTACCATCAGCTGGCGGACATCCTTGATCGATAGGTCTTCAGGCCGACTCTTGTAGAACTTCCAATGTTGTTGCTGCGGCTGTGACCTCTTTGTTTGTTGTTGTTGTAGTTGTTGTTGTTGCTGTTGAGGTTGAGGTTGAGGAGGTTGTTGTTGTTTCTTTGGAGTGGTAGGCATCGTTGATACTACTGTCTGTTGTGGCTGTTGGATAACAGTGGTACCCTTGTTGCCGCCTCCATCGCTACTACCATTAGTGCCATTAATGGTGCCATTGTTGCTGCCATTGTTGCTGCCATTGATAGGTAACAACTGAGTGGGCTGTTTGTCTTCATGTTGATGTTGGTGTTGTTGCTTCAAACGATCAGACTGAACTGTGACTGGTTTGATGTTGACTCCAACATCAGGTGGCTGCTCGATAATTGATGATGCCATCTCCTTCTCCTTCTCCTTCTCCATGTCTCTTTCTGAACTATATACATTGGTACTATTTACATCTGAAGTGATCGTTGTAGAACTGTCCACAACAGGAGGAACTAGCTGCTCGGTATCTGTCTTTACATCCACCTCAACATCCTGCTTTGGCTTATTGTCCTCAATCTTGTCTTGTTGAACTTCTACCTCATTGACCTTGTCATTGTCCTTGTCGTTGGACATTGTCAACTGATCCATTGTCATGTTCTGTATGAATGTGGCACCAGTGATCAGTGTCACCAAGTAATAGTTTGTCTCTGGTTCAATCAAACTTGGATCCCTAAACAATGTAATGAACTGGATGTTGGACAATAAGAATGGAAGGTTGGACTTGATCAGGACCTGTTCATGTGATTGATTGTTTGTGTTAGTGATTGATCAAATGAGTGAGCTTGAGTGGACTATCAATCAAACATACATAGATAATGATTGGAAGCAATTGATCGGCACCAACTGGTGCGCTATTCTTGTCATTGGAGAGCAACTTGAACAAGAGTTTGAATCCCTTTTTGAGTGCGATCAGCTTCTCCCTCGGTGTTTTGAAGCTGGTCATGCGTAGAAGTTGCTCCTGTATCTGTTCCAGTCTCTCGTTGGAGATCAATGCATCGTCAATGTCCAGGTTGGCGGGCGTGATGAATTGGAACTGTAGTATATGCTCGCACAGTGCCGTGTCCATGTCGATGTTTGATGGTATTGAGAAGATGCGTCGATAGAGACGCTGCGTGATGTACTGCTCCAGATACTCGTACACGACGATCTCGGCCTGATGCTCGGTCAGGTGCGCAAACGATGGCAGACGCGGACTGCTTGCCGCGATCGTCGTCGACGAAGATTTGAATGAGATGGCGGCACAGGCGTGCAGCAACATGGGCAGAGCCGTCGCAATGAACGACTTGGTCGACGACGAGATGTCGCCAGTCTCTGCCAGCGACTCGGCTGTGATTGAGTTTGGGTCATCATTCGTGGCGCGCGGTGAATGCTGTTGCTGCTGCGGTGGTGATTGTACGATGGACTCGATGAAGCTGTCGATTGTGGTGAGCAGGTGATTGTGCTCAGGCTGGGTGATGCGGTGCTGTATCTCAATGAAGCACTGCTCAATGTTCTCAATGGCGTGTGAGTCGACCAGTTGGCTAGGCTGGCTGACCACGCTGGTCTTGGCACCTGTGCCGTATGAGATTGGGAATGGAATGTTGTTGGACACATAAGATAGCAGGGGCATTGGAGAGAATGAGTTGAGAGTTGGTGTAGCTGGCAGATTGTTGGTGAAGCTAGACAATGAACTCCATAATCCAGAGAGTAGACCGACATTAGGTTGCTTGGTAGTGTCACTACTGTCCGTACTATTGTTACCACCGCCATAGTAACTCGACAAGAATGATGACAATGACGTCCTGAATGTACTGGGTGCAACTGCTACTGTTGTAGTTGTTGCCGTAGTTGATGTTGTTGAGGCGGCGGCAACAGGAGTGGTGGCAAGTTGTGGTGACTCCTTGACAGGTGTCTGTTGTGCACCATCATCCGCAGCCTTCACATTGTGTGATTGTTCGTCACCTGAGTGTTGTTGTTGTTGCTGTTGTTGTGTTGATTGTTTGTCATTTGTATCATCAGCTGCTGTGGATTGTGTTGTTGTAGTTGTTGCTGCTGCAACTACTGGTTGTGCTGTTGTCTGTGTACTGTTATTGTTTGACCTCCCAGTCAATGACGAGAATGCCCTTCCCAACAGACCAGGCTTTGAGGTAGGTGGAGGAGTAGTCTCTTGCTTGCTGGTGGTGCTAGTGGACATTTCAACAAGTTGATGTCTGTCTGTCTATTTACACATTAATTATATTATATTATACAGTTTATACTATTTACTTCTTCTTATTGCTAATCATATTCATAAGATTAAATGAAACACTGGTGATCTGATGAAGGTTGGAATCACACTAGTTCCCCTGCTTCCCCCACATGCACCACTTACTTCTTACTTTTCAAGGAGAATGACTTGCCACTGAGGTCGTCGACGTGTATTCTTCTTCAAGGTTGCATTGCCATGTCATTGCTCATTAATAATAATAATAATAATATATATATGTATTCAATACATTGGTAACTACAAACCAAAGTATAAATGATAATGGTGACTTTATCAGTTGACTAAAGTTTGACTTTAGGTGGGGATGGTTTGGCATGACGACATTTATGGTGATGGTATTAATGTTACTAGGTTTAATTAATTGATTAGATTACGTAATATATCAGTTAGTTAATAAAAGTGTCATTACGTGTAATAATACAATGATATAATCGTATAATTCCCATTCAGTCAAGACTAGACAGATGTTGGATAACAATGACGAAAACACAAGTCACTCGTGTCCCAAAGTCAATCGAAATGATGATGTGTTTGTGTCTGTGTTGGTGTTGGGAGTGAGTGTGAAAGGGAATGACTTTGTAATCAGTGAAAATGAACAACATTATTATTTATTCTTCATTCCAATACTTGCAACATCACCATCATCAAGTTAAACTAATAATACTTACTGATTAGTTATTACAACAAATCATACATATATATATATCAAACAACCATAATACATCATTCAATCAATCAATCATTCAATCAACCGATCCATCATTCACTCATTGTTCTTTTTGGAAATAGTCATCAGTCATTAGTCATTCGTAACTTGTACAGTGGAACAACTATACAACTAAAGTTTGATTTAGACAGATAACAAACAGACAGATAAAGAAGAAGAGGAAGAAGAAGTAGAACGTAGAAGAAGATGAACTCAATCATACAGAAGGGATTGACACAGAGCGTTGGTGCTCTGTCAACATCCTCACCAACACATATTATGTCAGTTGTGAACATGTCGCTCAATCATATATTGCTGAGGTCAGCTAGAGGAATGAACAGCAACAGCAACAGTAACAACAACATAAGTAATATTAGCAGAGTCAGCAGCAAAGATTTCCACAGTATCATTACATCTCAACAACAACAACAATATAGTTCACCCTCACCATCATCATTGATGAGCTTTATAAATAACAATCTCACCAGCAACAACAACAGTATGTATAGTCCATCCATTGATAGTTCGAACTATGTTGATGTAATACCATTGGCGACTGACCCATCACCAACCATCCTCTCTCTCTCTCGCCTCACTAACTAGACATGCAATCAGTACTCCGTCGTCAAGTCATCACCAGCAACAGCAACAGCGTCCAAGGTAATCATCACATCATATCACATCACAATGTTTGTTTGTTTGTTTGTTGTTGTCAATCACTCGTTGGACTTGGCTCCGATCACACCACCAAGAGGCCTTTTGATGTTCCCTGGAGCCTTGAAATTTCCTGCATTTGGAAACTGATCGATTTTTATTTGAACTGGAGTCAATCACTAACTTCCGACTCTGTCCACATCACATCATATAAACAGGTCTTGGTTTGAGACTATATAGCAGCAGCACTCCACCACCTACCAACACTGGAAATGCTGGCAATACGCCACCAACTACACCGACAACACCAACAACACCAACACCAGCACCAGCACCAAAGGAGTCATTGATGGAGAAGATCAGAAAGGTGGCCAAGCATTACTGGCTTGGTACCAAGCTGTTGGGCAAGAACATTGTGTTGACTGTCAAGCTGCTGAGAAGACTGAGCAATGGACACACGCTGTCCAGACGTGAGAGAAGTCTGCTGGTGCAGACATCGGCCGACACACTGCGTCTCGTGCCGTTCATCATCATCATGGTGGTGCCATTCCTCGAGTTTGCCCTGCCCTTCCTGCTGAAGCTCTTCCCCAAGATGCTGCCGTCCACCTACGAGCACAAGAACGACACGGAGAAGCACAAGACCAGCCAGGAGCAGGTCAACGTGTCGATGGCCAAATTCCTGCAGGACACTCTGTCCGACATCTCTGTCGAGCTCAAGGGCAACAACATTGTCAAGTCGACCGAGTTCCACGACTTTATGACAAAGGTCAAGATGGGCCAGCCGGTGTCCAGTGAGGAGATCCTCACCTTCTCGCAGCTGTTCCGTGACGAGATCACCATGGAGAAGATCAGTCGTCCACAGCTGCTGGCCATGCACAAGTACCTGGCCGGTGGCAGCTTCGTCGCCAAGTGGTACTCCAACGACTATCTGCGACAGCAGATCAACAAGAAGCTCAAGAAGATCAAGCAGGACGACATTTTGATCAGGAAGGAGGGTCTGGACTCGCTCACACTCGAGGAGCTGGTCGACGCCGCCATCGTTCGTGGCTTCAAGGTCGAGGGCTACGGTCGCAAGCAGATCGAGCATCAACTCGAGCAGTGGTTGGACCTCTCACTCAACAAGTCAGTGCCAAGCTCGCTGCTGATTCTGAGTCGCGCCTTCACCCTGGCCAACTCACCAAGCAAGCCAACCAGTGCCGAGCATCTTGAGGAGGTGCTCGAGCACATCCCACAGGAGGCTCTCGACGAGGTCGTCAAGAAGCTGCCCGTTGGTGGTGCTTTCGAGGCTGGCAGTGTTGAGCGTGCCGAGGAGAAGCTCGAGGAGCTAACCAAAGAGCAGGCTCTATTAGAGAAGGAGGAGAAAGAGGAGAAGGAAGCTCCGGCAGCAGCTGCTGCCCCTGTCGACGCAACTGTGGATGCAAAGGTGGCTACAACAACAGATAGTGTTGCTGCTGCCACTGCTGATGCCACCGTCACTGCAGCCAACACTACTACCACTACAGATGCCACTACTCCCCAGCCAGAGCAGGCAGTTCCCAAGGTACAAAAGCCATTGACACTCGAGCAAAAGAAAGAGCTCTCACTCTCTGATGACGATGACGCAGAGATCCACCAAGCTCAGAACAACAACAACAACAACAATGTCGAGGCAACAACGACCAACCCAACCCAACAATCCCAGTCCAAACAATAACATGTTCCCTTTGGTTAACTTCATCATCAATCATTCATTCGTCTTGTGATCATTCAAGTCATTTTGGGATGGGACCTTCCCAATCCCCACACCCCAAAAACACTACACCAACACCAACACCAACGTTCGTTTGTGGAGACTCTGGAATTTTTATTCGTTGCATGCACAAGCATAAATCTTGATTCAATTCCGTGTCGACTGTACTTTATTCATTCAAACAGCACTTTCAAAACAACGTCAACGTTTATTCACCAAACACAACCACGATTCAATCATTCTCATCTCATTCAACATATTCATAAATATCTACATAATTGTTAACAACAACAAATAATAGTAATACTTGGTTTTGTGTTTCTTGTATCAACTTGTACATTGTAATAATATATATATAACAATACTCTATACTTTATAACGACCTACCTTATATTATAACTACATTCGAATATACAAAGAAGACGACGACATATCATAATGACAGATATCCATGATGACATTCCAACTGGTGGTGCCACACCAACATTCACATCGCAATCATCCAACGAGATATTGATGGTGCAACCGACTCACTTTGAATTGAATGCACAGGCTGCCAATGACAACTACTTTATGAATGCACCAAAAGATCCATCAGTAGTTCATCAACAGGTATGTTTGTTGTTGATGACTGGATATGAATGCATGACTCACTCACTTATTGATTCACAAAGGCATTGGAAGAGTTCCATACTTATCATGATGCACTCAAGGAGAAGGGAGTCAAGGTTACATTGTTCCAACCAAATGATGGTTTGGAGACACCTGACTGCCTGTTCCCAAACAATTGGTTCTCAACACATCAGCCAACAGAGTCCAGAACAGGACAGGAGCACGTGATGGTTCTCTACCCAATGTGCCATCCAAATCGCCGTCTGGAGCGTCGCGACAGCATTATAAAGCACGTTCTGGCACGCAGAGAAAACACAAAGTTGATCGATCTGTCCTCGTCCGAGCAGACCAACATCTTCCTCGAGGGCACCGGTTCATTCGTCATTGACCGCGTCAACAAGGTGGCCTACGTCTGCGTGTCCCAACGCAGCCATCGCGACCTTGCCCTCGAGTGGGCCGAGTTCATGGGCTACAAGCTCGCTGCCTTCACATCCACTGACTCTGCCGGCAAGATCATCTATCACACCAACGTCATGATGGCCATCTGTTCATCCATTGCCATCGTCTGTTTGGAGACTGTCGAGGATCCAGTCGAGAAGAAGGAGTATGTATTACTGTACTTGTTTTGATTGTCCAATCACTAACTCATTCGTTTGATAGACTGTTGGATTTATTGTCCAAGAATCATACAGTGTTGCAGATTACAAGAGCCCAAGTGGAGCAGTTCTGTGGCAATGTGATTGAGGTCAGAGGCTCGGATGATAAGAAATACTTGGTCGCATCAAAGACTGCCTATGACGCATTCACCGAGGCCCAGCGATCACAAATCCTCAACCATGTGGACGACTTTATCACCAGAGACATCCCAACCATCCAGACCGTTGGTGGTGGTGGCATCAGATGTATGATTGCAGAGTTGTTCTAAATCATTATCCATTCAATCAATCAATCTATTTATTAATGCCATCGATGGCATAAAGATTAAGGAACGCACGCACGCACGACTAGACAAGACTACATCAACAACAACAACAACACAACGTTAGGTCATTGGTATTACCGACTCAATATATTCTTGTATAATCCATAATCACCTCTATACTACATCTTGCAAGTACATTATTAACATTAAACCAAGTGTTTGTTTGGACCTAACCAAACTATGAAGGCCAAGAGTTGCCACCCTATCTTCCTTTATTATCATTACACTACATTACATTGGATAGCGACACAGACACACTAATTACTCCAAGAACTCGTTGATGGCACCAACGGCAGTCTCCATGACACGTGTGGCATCCTCTGTGCCATTGCCCAACTGGGTGCACTCGGCACCCAATAGTGATCTGGTTGTCTTGCCAAAGACAAAGTGTCTGAGGTTGTCAACACTGCTGGCAAACACATGTCCATTGTCATTGACCGATGTAATGATGATCTTGCATGTGCCCAATGCAACAGTGGCATCCTTGCTAGCGGACAACACCGCTTGTATTTGATCAAATGTTGGATTGATCTCTTTGAACGTACCGACCGTCACCGACTGTGATTGATTCAAGAGTGCGGCACCAACGAATGAGTCCTGGCCTGAGATCTCCAACAATATCCTCTCATACTCTTCATTTGATACTGGTTCCATGTTTATATCTCTCTCTCTCTTCTCTTTCTATCTTTCTTTGATTGAAGTTGAATCACAAAATAGGTGAACTTTTGCTCCATCTTGGCCACGTCAACATTCACTTCAACTGGGCTTTGATTACTTCAAAGAAAAATCCCATCATTAGAACAAAGTGTTCACAGAATCTTCAACATAGTGAAGAGGTTGACGACACGTAGAATCTATTAATTACTTTGATAAATATATATTGTTCAAAAAAATAATCATCTCGGCAATTACTATTCTTGATCGTCATCAGAGATATTGTTTGTTTCCATTTGAGGGGAAGAGAGACAACATCTTGGAAACCTCGAGTTTTATTTTTATCTCAATGAGTTCCGGTCTTAGCACAGAGACTTGTTGTGAGACAGGACACGGCAACACACCACGACAAAGTATCCAACGGTGTTATTGGTTCATTCATTCGTACACTCATACACACACATACACCAACATTCATTCATTAATTCATTCATACATTCGTTCACTCATTCATTCATACCAACCCACCCTCTACTTACTATCTACACTTACACACAGAGACAGACAGACAGATATACACATATTTATACATATACAAACAAACACTCATCTCAATCAACATCAACAAGTTATTGTCAACAGCAACAACAACAAGTATATACAACTAAACACACAAAGATATTTAATAATAACATGGGAAATGTAATGGGCACAGCAAGTGCTGGTGAGCCAACTAATCAAGGTAAATGGAATTGAATGAATGATTGGATGGGATTGAGGAAGACTGGTCATTCTAACAAACAAAACGAACAAACAAACAGATGCTTATGTATTCTGGTTTAACTTGAATCAGACATTTGCACATCCAGACACATTACATTTAAGATTCCAACCTTTTATGGTCGATATTCAGAATGCAGAGTTGGAGGAATCGGAAGCGAGAATGAATGCACAGCGCTCAAGTAGACAATATATGATGGGTAGGGATCGCGGTGGATCAATGTCCGAAGAGACCTATATCGTCACGGGCCAACAGCGCGAGGATGGCCGACTGTCGCCCTCATCGACATCGCGCATCTCCTTTGCCAACGAGACTCCACAGATTGAAAAGATGAACAGGAACCTGCTACAGATCATCAATTGCAAGCTGCAGCTGATCCCGCCCGAACTCAATCACATCACACTCAATCTCGACAACCATCCAATCACCGAGCGACTGATGCTGACGATCTGTGCGACCATCATCGACAATAATGAGCGCTATCACAATCGACACATGACCACGACGTTCAAGGACACGCCGATCAACACCATCCGACGCAAGCGCATCCAATCTGACTTTGACAACCTGATCACGCAGTACTATTTCAACATCACCAAGCTGTCGCTCAAGAAGACGTTCCTGTCCGATCGCAGCCTCGAGGCGCTGTCGCAGGCATTGCGAACCAATCATTCAATTCTCGAGCTGGATCTGGGCGGCAACGAGCTGATGTCATCTGGCATCGCCATGGTGACGGCGGGTCTGCGCTACAACAAGTCTGTCACACGACTCAACATGAGTGATGTGCGAGCTTTTGACGAAGGTGCATTCATTCTCTCGGCCTTCCTCATGACCAGCAAGACACTGCGCATACTTGATCTGTCCACCAATCACATCACTGACAAGGGATTCGAAGTGCTCAAGCAGGCAACAATCAGAAACACCTATATCTCATCATTATACCTCTCGGACAACAACATTGGTATGATGCATCATTGTTTGAGTGTCATGGGCGACTGGCCACACTGACTGACTAACCAACTCCACTCATTCAATCAACAGACTCAACCAAACTCTACTCTTTATCACATATACTCAATCGAAATAGCAGTGTACAATATGTGTTCGAGACGATATTCAACAATATGAAGTTTAACAGACGATTTAAGAACAAATTACAATCAGTGAGGAAGACATTGGCTCAATCTCAGCAGGGCGGTCGTGGCGATGCTTCGCAGGACGACGGTGACAGAACACCCATCTTCAAGATGCTGGGTGCCAAGGGACAGCAGGCAGTGCCCGAGCAGAAACCAAGCAACAGGTTCATCATTGGAATGAGCGAGACGATTGGAAAGAGACCGTCCATGGAGGATAGGATGGTGGCATACGGCTGCTATCGGAGCACAGACAATTGTGAACTGTATTGCGTGTTTGATGGACATGGAGGCAAATCTGCATCAGACTATGCCGCGGACAACATCTATCGAATCTTTGGCGAGTTCCTCGACTCCAAGAAGACACCAGGCGAGGCGTTCAAGCTGGCATACCAAAAGATACACACTCACATTTCACCATGGCCATTCATTGGAACAACTGCCGTATGTGCATTAGCTACGTCTTATTCACTCAATCAATCAATCACTTACACTCCATCAATCAATGTACTATAGGCCTCTGTATATATTAAGGACAACATGGTGTGCATTGCCAATGTTGGAGACACACGAGTTGTGATGGGTACTCTGAACGACGACCATCAATTCGTATCCGAACGTCTAACTTTTGATCATAGACCAGTGGAGGACACAGAGCGAAAGAGGATTATCAGTGCCGGTGGCACCATACTGAATGGACGCGTAAATGGCATGCTTGCCGTGTCCAGGGCATTGGGCGACTCATTCCTCACGCCCTACGTCTCCACCGACCCTTACATCAAGAACATCACAATCACAGAGAAGAACAAATTCCTGATATTGGCATGCGATGGAGTTTGGGATCTGATATCCGATGAGGAAGCTGTCAAAGTGATATCAACAATACCCGATCCAGCAAAGTCAAGCGAGACACTGCGGGACCTTGCCTTTTCACAAGGAAGTACGGACAACATCAGTGTCATGATTGTCAAGCTGCACGACTATTGATTGATTGATTGATCCGACTTGGCCCGCCTTCCCCTCCCCTCCACTCCCCTCCCCTCTATTTATTATTAATGTAGCACAAGCGATTATCTGGCCGCATTCAAAGGAACCATTCCTTGTTGGTCAATTACATATATAATGTCTTCTTAGTCTACATTTATTCCGAATGGATCATGATGACATCAATCAATCAATCAATCAACAATGATCATCATTACTTGTGGTTGTTGTTGTTGTTTGGGAAATGATTGGCAATCTTCTTTGCGATCAGTTCATCGTGATTGCATTTGTAGGGTTTGTTGCCAACTGGAGTCAGCTGAGTGCCATCATCAGCGATTTGAGGCTGTTGCACTGGATTCTCATTGACATATCTCTGGAAGTTTGAATTTATAATGTCATCGATTGACTTCTTTGATTCGTTGTCTGACATGTCTAATCTCTGTTGTTCGGTCTGTTCGGTTTGTTCAGTTTGTTCGGTCTGTTTGGTTTGTTGATGTTGTTCTTGTATTTGATCCACCTGTTCAATTGATGCCAAACAACAATGACTAGTTAGAATAAGTACCAATAAAAGAATATATAATAATGAAAATGTTCTAGTTGATAACTTCATGTGTAAAGGTAATGTATTCTTTAATTATTATTATTGTTATTATTATTTATATGATTAATAATCTATGACAGGACGTATATTTATATATATGCCTCTTCTTATACGTCAATAACATTAATATTATTGTTATTTATTTATTGTGTGTATATGTGTGTATGTATTGACACCAAGAGTGAGAGTGTGTGACTGGCTAAATGTAAGTGTATATCACCCTATTGTAATCTATACCTCTATCTATGTGTCAATACATTGAGGCTATTGTGTTGTGGTTATGATTGATTGATCCTCACGTGTATGTGTATGTGTATGTGTTATATATGTTTGCATGTGATTAAATGTGTGATTGAATGAATGGATGTGTGTGTTTATAAGTGTTTGGCATGTGAATGATGAATAAAAGATTGTGTTGAGCTGAGCATTCACAACGAGTGACATCCAACTTGAAATTTCCTTATTTGGTAATAATAAATATATAAATATAATATTATGTAATTACCTTGTTGTATAAGTATCAATATCTTTATCTCTCTAAACTATGTTGAAGTAGTTGGATTTTTTATGAATGGGTAAACAATTAACCCATCTTCTTCTACTTCCACTTTGTCTTGTAGAATTGGGTTATCGAGTAGGTACAAAAAAGGACAAGGTTACAAAATGGTATTAAATATTTCTCAATTGACCATTTCTTTGATGTCCTCTATTACACTTGTACTCAAAAAGAGATAATCTATAAATATACGAATTTCTTCCAAGGTACAAATAGATAACTCGAGACATGCTTATGATACACAGCCAATCAATCATGTAAAGTTGATGTTGGTTGAGAGTTCTTTTTGAATCCCCAAGTTGGGAATCAACATATATGAAGGGGAGATAGATAGATAGTAAGATCTATCTATCTATTTATAAATAAAATAAGACTTAATTTATCTCTATCTATTATCTATTATCTCTTTCTCAATCAGATCAATAACTCTTCCTTCAAATTTTTCAACTTTTTTTTTAACTCACATTGAGTGAACAACAACCTTCCACTTTCACCTGAACTGAAGGTCATTAACAAGTCAATTCACTTCATTATACCCTCTATATTTATACATGTACACAGAGCAGTGAGATCACTGTCAATCAGAGACATCACATCATCACACATTGTATATAGATCATACATACATTAGCATAATAACAAATCGATAAGAAAGACTGACTGATTGACTGTGTATATATATAAGCATAGTGTTGCCCATGCGCATGATACATATAACAAAGGCACATTGATCGAATAGTAAATACATACAATGAACGTTAGAAAACTACAAGGTACACTACCAATCAATCAATCAATCATACAACATTGATATTATATATGAACAATATTGCTGACATGTTGCAACATGATACATTCAACTATTCAGGCGAGATTGACAAGACACTGAAAAAGGTGTCGGAAGGCGTACTAGAGTTTGATTCCATACTGAAAAAGGTCTATGCTGCAACCAGCACCAATCAGAAGGACAAGTATGAAGGGGACCTAAAGAAGGAGATCAAGAAGCTGCAACGCTACAGAGATCAGATCAAGAACTGGCTGACAAACAATGATATCAAGAACAAAACATCATTGGTTGAGAATCGGAAGCTTGTTGAACAGGTATGTTATTGAGATCAATGATCGATTGATTGATTGGTTGATTGGTTGAGTGAGTGCGTGATCATCCTAATCCAACCGACAACATCAACAGAAAATGGAACAGTTCAAAGCATGCGAGAAGGAGACAAAGACAAAGGCATACTCAAAGGAGGGACTGGGTCAGCCGTCAAAGGATACCGACCAGAAGTTGCAGGTGCGCTATTGGGCGGGTAAGGCAATCACTTCTCTAAAGGCTCAGATCCAAGCCTTTGAGACAGAGATTGAGAACATCCCCGTCAGGAAGAGAAAGACCGAGTCGTCCAAGGTCGAGTCCATCCAAAAGCATCTCGATCATCATCGCTATCACATGCGAGCGTTGGAGATCCTGCGACGAGCGATGGAGAATGACAGGATACCAGCCGAGGAGATCGAGAAGATCAAAGACACTGTAGAATATTATATAGAGAACTATGAGGTAATGTTTGATTGATTGATTGATCGATTGATTGATTGAATGAATGACTAACATGTGTTATCAATCATACAGGATGAGAACAACGAAGACCCAGAAGACATATACAGTATGTTCAACATCAAGGTATCGACAGATGGCAATGACGATGACCTGGATCTATCTTATGACGACAGCGACAATGATGATATACTGTCAACGGACAGTGACAATGATAGCAGCGACAATGAGGATGATGTGGACGATAGCCATGGCTCGAGCCCCACGACTCCACTGGCGACATCGGCATCGTCCATCCCGACGTCTGCCTCGTTGGCTGCCGCCAGTGCGACGGCCGGCTCCCTACACTCTAGTAAACATCAACAACAAAGCGCACAACAACAACCAGCAGTCCAACCATCACCCACACTCTCCGCCAATGTACCTACCAACAAGATCGAAAGGAACGCATCACCTCCCGGCCTCAACCCGACGTTGTCGACTGGATCAAGGAACTCGACACCATCACCAACCCTACCATTTGTAAAGCCAAACGCCAAACCTGTAAGTCAATCATTCATTCAATCGTTCAATCGGTCAATCATTCAAACACAAGCTAACCTTGGCATGCATGTCCTCCCCGACAACTTACAGGAAGCCAAATCCCAACCACTATCCCAACCATCACAACAACCTCAGCTCCAACCACCTTCACTGCAGCAGCAACAACAACAACAGCAACAGCAACAGTATCCACCACTGAATCTCCCTGGAAACATGCCAATGGCTCAGAGATTGCAGCAGCAGAACCAACAGATGACGGTTGCCGCTCAGATCCAGCAGCAGCTCGCCGCTCAGCAGGCACAGCAACAGCAGGCTCAGCAGCAGCAGACTCAACAGCAGCAGCAGGCTCAACAACAGGCTCAGGCGCAACAGCAAGCCCAGGCGCAACAATCGCTGCGACAGTCACAGCAACAGCAGCAGGCACAGCAGCAGCAGCAACAATCGTTTGCAATCAGAAACTCCAGAGGTGTTCAGTATCCATCCAACCTACCGAATCAATACCAGCAACAGAAGGATGACATTACAGAGAGTGGTACGTACTCACACCTCACTGACACGCTTGCTCGCTCATTGTCGCGCCCGCCCACAACTAACAACTCACATTCCATTCCAAACTTCAGTCAAGGAAACACTGAGTCAGATGAACCTAAAGTCGACCACACCGCCACACGCCTCTCCCTCACCACCTGGCTTGGACGATGACACCAAGAACAATGAGACATTCGACACTGGATCATCAATGTATCCTGGCACACTGGCTGAGCTGTCGTCGGCCACAATGTCTCGAATTCAGAACGACACCAATGGATTCGCCGGCATGCACCAGCATGTGGCGTCATCGGGCCTGGGTGCGGCGCATGGCATGGACCCGTCGGCGCTTGGCAAGTCCCAGGCACAGTCGTACGAGGAGAACCTGTCCAGTGTGCGTCTGATGATGGAGACGAGCTTCAAGTTCATGCCCGAGTACAAGGACTACGAGCGACAGTCATACTATCTGCCCAAGAACCCCAAGCAGACGCCACCCTACTATCCGCACATCCCTCTGCCGCTGTTTGAACAGACGCTCATCTTTGAGAAGTTTGAGATCGATCCCTTGTTCTTCATCTTTTACTTCAAGCAGGGCACCTACCAGCAGTATCTGGCGGCACGCGAGCTCAAGAAGCAGGGCTGGCGCTACCATAAGAAGTACCTCACGTGGTTCAGGCGACATGACGAGCCCAAGGAGATCACCAACGAGTATGAGCAGGGCACCTACGTGTACTTTGACTACGAGACTGGCTGGTGTCAGAGAAAGAAGACAGAGTTCACATTCGAGTATCGATTCCTTGAGGAGTAGAGAGTTGCTACCACTCCTATCCTCTATCACAAACTTCACTCTCTCTCTCTCTCTCTATCTCAAACACACATATATCACGCTATGTTGTTGGCAACAATGTGCAAGGCCAGCCAGCGATTGTAATTAAACAACGACGTTGGTGGAACAAATAATTATTCATTCATTCATTTGTTTGTTTGTTAGAGTAGATTGGTCCAGTGGTACTCACTTTGGCACTTGCCAGAGTATATATATACATTGGTTATTACTCTGGCACACACATTAACATCCGGATTCCCTTTTATATTTACCAATGGATAGTAACTATTTGGACAAGTTTTAAGTTCCATTGTCACTTCAATAAATCAAACAATTAAACAAATTCATTAATTATAATGGAGATACAGAAAGGAAACGAAGATTCTATTTCAATGTCTAGTATGACTTTGTAGAGTATATTCAACACTTATTCTATAAACTTGGATATATATTAAATAATACCAGAAATAAAATAACCAACTCCCCAAGTAAGTGACTCTATATTTTTTAATCACAATAATAATAATTGTATTATAGGAATGGAGATGATTGAGCATTTCAGGAGCACAGTCCCATTCTTTGTTTCTCGCCACTCATCCTACCACCATATTACTTCACAACAATTTGACAAGTTGGTGGATGAACATTTGATGGCTTGTAAAGTGGTCTACATCTTGGTATGGGACCAACAAGGTGTCAATTGCAGGGTAAATCGAGTGGATCCAGATCGTTGTACATCTTCAAGACTGATGAAGACAATCATTAGCCAATTGACATTGATGGGAGGCAAGAAGGTATTCAATGATTCCGACCAATTTTGGTCATTCCCATCTCAACTACCATCTGGAAGGAAATTCACCTTGGCCCCCATCATCCAGGATTTTGAATGGGCTGGACATACAGAGGGCCTACAAGACATCTTCATTGGCTGAAAGTTATACGATACCTTGCCTCTCGAGCCATCCGAGTTCAATTGATTGATTTGATTTAATGATTATGATTGAGTGATTGAGTGATTGATTATCCCTTATTGATTATTTCTGATCGTGTATAATATGTATGAAGAGGTGCCCACCTGGTCTTGATCCCCGAGGTTGGAACATCCACATATCGATTGAGATGGCTACAGATCAACCAACCCATCAACAGTGTCTTGAACTTCTATTGGCCGACCCGAATTAACATAATCAGGTCCACATTAACATAAAATATTATAAAAATCAAAATCAAATCAAATCAACTATCTGTGATGTGATATTCCTGGATGAATCAGACAAAAAGTCGTCTTCCACCCCCACCCACACAAGTGTGTAATTTCACCCTTCTTTCGCTTTCGTGGGTTTTGGTGACGCACGCTTCTGAATCAGGGCATTCATTCATTCTTGAAGGCCCTAGCCAAGTCGTGCCTCATCCACACCACCCACCAGGTTCAAGTCAACAGAAGCAGACTTGTTTGTCACTTTGTTTGTTTTATTGGGTCATCCAAAAGAGATATTAGTTACAGATAATAATATTAATGTAGGTACACATACTTTCAAATCAACGTTGACGATTCATTCATAGTTAGGACAACAGGATATTACTATTTTATTTGGTTGGACATGGGTCATACAGGTCATGGGTCGTTCATTCATATGATGATTGGTTAGACGAGTTAAGCAAGTTTGTGGACGTATTGAGGATAGTGGTGATCGGATGGTTCAGCTGATCGATCACAACTATCAATCAATATTTATTACAATTTTTAAGTTGACCATTTAAATGATGGACATCTATTCATCCATCGATCCATCCAATCAATCAAATCAATCATACTATGGCATATATATATACATATATATGTATTTCATGTTGTCAGATCCAACATCAATCTACACTTACACAACAATAACCAACAACAAGCATGAACGGACCAATACCAACAACAATCTTCATTTATCACACTTTACTTCAAACCCCATCACTGCCATTCATTCAGAACACACAACAACAAGACACTTTCTTGTGGACCTCACAAGAACACATAAAGCCCAACACCGACAACAATCACCACCACTACCACCCCACAACGAATCATCGGCCGCCACCCCTACCTAACACACACTAATCACATGATCCTGCTTGTGCCGACTATTATTAATGTGTTAGTGTTAGTGTAAGTGTGTGAGGGCAGTCAGTGTTTGATAGATGGCACGCCCACACACGCAACTCTTGATCTCACGCAACATCAACCGACCAACCAAACTCAACTACTCATACTCCCACAACGTCAATCACCCGGGCCAACATCACCTTATGTCGATGGATGATTGATGGTGGTCAAGACTGGACTTGACTGCACATCTTGAAACACAATCAGTCAGTCAGTCAGTCACAGCTTACCACTACCCCATCCAACCAATGCTGTCAAACCCTTCAACATCATCTTTGCATACCCCGTTGTTGCACCAACCAATGCATCACAATCCAATCTCACACTACTATCACAATCAATCATTCATTCACACACTATTCACTTCACTTCACATCAATCATTTCATTCATTCATTTAAGCATCGATGCGTTTGTTTGTTGTTGCCTTCTTCTTCTTCTCTTCTTTGTTTGTTTTTGAATGATTCATTCAATCAAGTTTAGTTTAGTTTAGTTTGTTTGTTCCATTGGTGTTAGTTCCTTGCACCTCCATTCAACATCCAACAAATACACGAAACGACCGAGACTCCTCCCCTTGACTCTGGACCAGACATTAATCCAACTTCCTTCTATTCCACGATACACAGTCTTTTGCGCTCCGCTCCAATTACCCAGTCACCCCCACTGTCAACCTTCAAGTCTATCACATCGACCTGATTGGATCAACAACGAACAAACGAACGAATGCCTTCTCCCAGCACTCCATCCAGCACCGGCAACAGCAGCAGCAGCAGCGGCAACAGCGCTCTCTTCCTGAGCACAGCAATCAACCGCTCCTACCACGTCGTAGCCAAGATTGGCGAGGGTATCTCAGGGTAAGCAATCCAAATTCAACCAAAAGATGGAAGAGAGTAGTGAGTGAAGCAGTTGCACGAGCGAGTGATGTTGTTGTGAGAAAGTGAAGTGAAGAGAGAGAGTGATCAAAAACCGAGCGAGTGTTTGTGTGGGGTACACCCACCCCACTCCACACGATCCAGTGATCAACCATTTTCGGAAGACCGTTCGTTTTTCCTTTAATGTACATGGACAGAACATATGTTAATCAATAATCCACCATCAATCAAATAATAATTTAGCTCTGTCTACAAGGCCATCAAAATTGGAACCAATGAGATGGTGGCCCTGAAGAACTTCAAGGGCGGAAGCGACGGCGAGCGCGCCTCGCGCGAGGAGGGCACCCTGCTCCTAGAGCTAAAGCACATCCCTCACATCACACCCGTACTCGACATCATCTCCACGCCCTCCGAGTACAACATCGTGTTCCCGTACTTTGAACACGACCTCTCCGGCCTACTCAGCGAGCACCGTCTGACCCTCTCGCAGGCCAAGTGCTACTTCCAGCAGCTGGTCCAAGGCATCTCCGAGATACACAAGAACGGAGTCATGCACCGTGACATCAAAGGTAATGATTGATTGGAATCATTCCAGCCCCTCACCCACACATATCTAACGCGCCACTCTCTTCCCCGCACTTCTAGCCGCCAACATCTTAGTTAACAATAAAGGATCATTGTTTATTGGTGATCTGGGCACAGCTACTTCGTACGTGAAGCGCTCTGTGTTCTCCAGTAAGGTCGTCACGCTCTGGTACCGCGCACCGGAGCTCCTGCTCGGCGCCACCAGTTACGGCCCCGAGGTCGACATGTGGTCCATTGGGTAAGTACAACAACAACAACAACCTCTCCTCTATCCCTCTACCCATGCATACTGCTGCTTCTGCTGCTGCTGCTGCGCTACTCACAACAACACCTGGTGTGAACCGATGAGCTGCTTTGGCCTTCCAAGCCAAGCAAGAGGGACACGGAAGGGAATGATTGTTTGATGGATGTTGCTTGCGTGCGTGCGAGCTTGCTTGCTTGCTTGTTCGTTCTCTCTATCTTTGATGGTGGCACCATGCCCAGAAGTGCTGCATCAATGTACAACTCATTGGTTGTTGGACCATTCACTCACTCATTCAATCACTTCAATCAATCAATCAATCAATCAATATAACATCAGTTGCGTACTCATTGAACTGGTAACATCAAGGAACTTCTTACCAGGCAGTTGCGAGCAACAACAGATCGAAGCCATTTGCCAACTGTGCGGCACACCAACAGAGTCAGTATGGTCCGGAGTGTCATCACTTCCAAACTACCATATGATCGCCGACGTGCCCAAGTACCCAAGCAGCCTAAGACACATATTTAAGAACTTCACAGAGGACTTCATTGCATTGCTCGAGGGCCTCCTTACACTAAACCCAAAGAAGCGCTGGACCGCCGAGCAAGTGCTCACGTCGGCCTTCTTCACCAGTGAGCCCCTGCCATGCGCGCCCGAGAAGATGCCTGGCTACCAATCAATACACGTCTTGGAGGCCATCCAGAAGAGAATGAAGCAAGAGCAAGAGCAACAGAAGCTGAAACAGCAGCAGCAACAGACTACACCTACAACTACCATCACCAAACAAACAGCGTCATCACAAACATCCACATCAACATCCACATCATCAACATTTGACAAGCAACAAGTCGACCTGAGTACGTCCACCGTCGACTCTGCTGCTGCCGCCACCTCCAACAACAACGCCATCTCCAACTCTGCCGAGACAACGCCAACTTTGCAGTCATCATCCAGCCAGCGCGAGTCACTGAAGCGTTCATTCGACTTGGTCAACGACATTAGGAATTATTGCACGAGCGAGTCGGACGACGAGGACGAATATGACGTCGAGTACGAGATCGACGATGAATACTACACAGATGACGACGAGTGCGAGGATGACTGCGACGATTGTGACGACTGCGAAGACTTTGACGAGTCTGACGAGGAGGAGTTCTACGCCTGCGAGACCTACCAGCTGACGACCGCGCCCAGCTCTGCGACGGTCGTTGTTGACCCTGCCATCAACCAGTTCCTGCAGCCTGCAAAGAAACAGCGCACAAGCGGACCGACCGTTGCCACCTCACTGGGCACGGATGGTCGCATTGACATCCCCATTCACTAGGTCTCCTGTCTGCCTGACTGGCCCCCCACCACCTGCAGGCCCCCATGCGATACGCACGCGCGTGGGGGACTGCTGGCGATACCTTACGTAGTTGCTATGACCCGACCCTTTGGCGCCACCTGTGGACATCATGGAGCGATTCAATTTGCTTCAATGAATGACAAAAGCAGTTGGTGTCACTATTGTTGTTGGCGTGCCTGCATAGCCCCCGCCATTCCCTTGGTCGACCAAACTTGGATGTTGTCCATCCAACAAGGCGAGTCGAGGCGAGGTGAGGCCGTTGGCATGTACCCAACACAGTCTGTTCGCGCAACCACAAGGGACTGATAATCGTCCAGAAGACAATAAACCTGATCCTAAATGTTTCTTGCAATGTTCAATGAGGGCTCTCCAGGCGGTCAATTGAGGGACCATGATTCATCGCTTCAATTTATGTGATCCATTATTATTCCAAATCAAACATAGAGATAATATGTATACATTACCAAATACCATTATCCTATCAATATTGACACAACTCCATGATGAAGGAGATGTGCTTGGCAGACAACTTGACATTATGTGTCTGTCATTGACAATCAAATCAATCAGATCAGTTGCAAACCAGACCTTGGACAACAACACATATTTCAACATCAACATCAACGACATCAAGATGATGACCTAGATGATAACAACGATCAAGAAGTCTTACCATATTGATGAATAGTTTATTATCAACCTTCCAGACTTTTGGAATTCAAGTTTGGCTTGGTACATGATCTTTGTGATGATCATCAAACATTCTTTGATATAAAGATCCTTTGATTGAGTAGAGGAGATAATAGGACCAATGGATATATTACCAACTACTATTATCAGATCAATATTGGCTCATCTCAATGATGAAGGAGATGTACTTGGTAGACAACTAGACTTTATGTGTCTGTCACTGACATGCAAGTCAATCAGATCAGTTGCAGATAAGATCCTACAAAACAAACATCAACATCTACAACAGCATGATGATGAAGACGAAGAAGAAGAATTGTTACCATGCAGCATTATAATGAATGACTTAGCATCATTAACCACCAACACCTTCAACATTGACATCAACGTATACAAATCAATGACCTGTCTTTCAATGAAAGAATCATTCAACTCACCGATCACCAAAGATATGTTACCATCATCACTCTTGGCATTGGACTTGGGTGGTTCATTCAATCAGCCCATCATTCCAGGAGTGACACTTCCAGACTCAATCACCAAGTTGTCATTTGGCCCAGTTGACAAGTACCCATCATGGTCCAGCACGAACATGACAATGTTTAATCAACCGCTTCTCGTTGGATCGCTTCCTTCATCACTCATCGATCTTAGTCTAAGTTACCTTTTCAACCAGGAGGTGCTGCCCGGTGTCCTCCCCAAGTCACTCATCAAACTTCGGTTTGGAGGTGTATTCTCAAGAGTGCTCACTGCTGACTCGCTGCCCAGCGACCTTAGAGAGTTGGTTGTCAGTCGCTCATACTCCCATCCCATTCCACCACTACCATCTCTGAGGAGTCTGACAATATCGTCGGACAACCAGCTTGATACAACTTCGCTGCCATTGATTGACACCCTTATCCTATTTGAGGCAGGTCCTCCTCTCCCTTTGCCACAATCACTCACACATCTCGTGATGCCCTACTTTGGTGCAAGTTTAAACTATCCTCCACTGCCAGAATCATTGACCAAGTGGGAGCTACCTCAGACCGATGGAACATTCCCCTCGGTAATACCACCCAGCCTGACAAGTATTGTATTGGTTGGTGTAGGTATTAGACCAGGTCATTCTCTAGGATCAATTAGGACCCTGTCCATCACGAGGGCAGGACATATTGGCGTTGGCGCGCTACCCCAATCTCTCACCAAGCTGAAACTTGAATCACAGTCAGGAAGAATGGAACTTGGAGCACTTTTCCATTTGCGATCACTCATCACTCTAATTCTCAATATCGATTCCATTGTTATTCAAGGGAACATTCCAAACACGGTAACACACTTGAGACTAGGGCATAACTTTAAATCTGCTCAAATATACGACCAATCAATTCCAGATTCATTGACACGCCTTGACCTGGCCAACAATCACATTGACAAGTTAGACACAATGTTTGATAAATCATCTACTTACAAGATATCACTACTATCAATTCATTTTATGTTGGATAGTTTTACAAGGAGAACTTCACCTGGACCATTGATTATGACCAGTCATCTGCCAATGGATCCATCCTATCTCAAGAAATGTTTGACCTTGGCCACCCAAGTGAATAACTTCCAATTCATAGTTCAGTTCCACAAAGAGAGGAACAAGTATCCATACAACCTACGCCGAATTGATGAACATAATTCTCTGTTGATATCTGGAGCATGTCAAATCAAACAACTTGAATTCATCACATATTAATCAATATCTGGAACTATTCAAATCATTCATTAATACAATCACATGCAAACAACAATACTAAATATCACTCAATCACTATAATTCCAAACAATAGCTTGATCATAATTTAATTAAATTAATAAGTTGGTCCAAGTGGATGAAGCCAGTACGGAGTAGATCACATTCAAATTGTAGGAACATAGTTGGAGATATTCGTCGGTGAAAGAGGATATTTCTTTGGTCAACCTCTATATCAAAATGGAGGATGGTAGTTGGTAATTGTTCGAGGAAATCTTTGATATGATGGTTATGGCCGCCTGTCCACATCAACCTGGATATACATGGTCCAATGATTGTTGTGTCCAAAGAATGTGAATAACCATGAAGTGTCAAATCGGTGACAGATGGTGGAATATCACTGCCAATCAATTGTTGTTCATAAAGACTTAATGTCAATCTGGTCATATTTGGTGAGTTGCTATACCATGCCACACTGTCGCCATTGCCATTCCCGTTGTCATTATCGAAGATACCTTGATTGATATAATAAATACTTAGTGTTTGTAAGCCAGAGGGAGTCGAGATAATACGTTGTCCTCGAGTGATTATTTCCAGGATCTTAAGGGATGCAGGTAGTGAAGAAAAGTCAAGGTGTTGTGACGGGGATGCGTCACAAACGATGATACCTGCATTTAACTGCTCCAGCACTGGGAAGCGCGATGATGTGATGTGTGCAAGTGTTGCAGTATTGACAGAAAACAGATTGAGAGTGTGTAGGCGGGGAAAGTCAAGTCTGGGAAGTACCCGGATTGTAGAGTCTGTGACTGAGTGTTTTTGGAGGTGTAGTATCTCCAAAGTCTGATGATTGTGGATCAGGTTATATATAAATGGAGTTCGCACACTGAGGTCAGTGACACTTGCTGGAAGCTTGCCCACGCGATCATTGACATACGGTCCAAGTATGAGCTTTGTGAGCGATGGTGGAAGTCTCTTAACATCAAGTGATTGTCCACTAAAGTGTTGGACGTCCAATGTTCTTAGAGAACACAGGCTGGACAGATCGAGATAAGGTCGGAAGTCGTAGTCACATTCAATGTTGAGCGCGGTAAGTGACAGTGGAAGATGTCTCGAGTCTCTGTCCACTTCTTCTCTTGAGGGGATATGTATGTATTCTTTCAGTTCTAAAGAGACGATTGGTACATTGCGCAGTTCAGGCGGCATTACTCCAGACAACAGTTTGAAATGGATATTAAGCGGGGCAAGTCCAGCGTTGAAGTTGCGATTGTTCAATTCGTTGAAGAGGTGTGTAGATCCTATCCAGAACTCTCGATTGAAGGGATTCTCCTTGCAATCCATCAATGTTATTGTACCAATGTTTGGCAGAGCCAACACCTCCTGCCTCCACTCCACATCATCAGTGCCACTGTTACCAGCCAAGAAGTATCGATCAAAGCCAAATTGAGTACTGTTGGTGTTTGAATGAATGAGTATGCTCAAGCCACGTGGTGGTAGTCTGTCGAAGCTATCAATGATCTGCTGTTTATATGAATGCAGTGCTATCTGGTACTGATGCTTGGTGGATTCGAATTGTATATATCGAAAATTGTCTTGTTCAAAGCGGCAGTACTGAACTCTACAATCAAACAATCTCTTGCATATCAATGTCAACATCAATCGATCAACATTGTCATCAAGGCAATCTACTATCTTTCTCAATATAGTAGTTGGAAGTGATTCCATTATCTTATCTCTTATCTCCTCTTCTTTGAAATGATCTTCCAAAATTGGGTTCACTTGAGTCAAGTCATGCTACTTCACACTTCAATCTCTTTCATTCATTCATTGGTTCCTCAGGTATACCTATTACTCATAGTGTGACACACTTAGCATGTCAAGCACAAATAGCACAGGTATTGGTAAATCGACAACATCAACATCAACAACTGCAACACCAATATTACCTACTACAGCAACACCAACTTCGACCACCTCAACTACAACTACGACCACTACTTCTTCTAAACCTGCGGCGTCGTCGACAGGGACTGCGGCGGGGACGGGCACAGGTGGGGCTACAGGTACTGCTGGTTCATTGAAGAGATTGCCAATTCAAGAGATCGATGATGTAAGTATAGGGATCGAGTGAATGAACAAGTGAAACAGTCATTGACAGTATGCAAACATTGGTTCATTGTAGAAGAAGATCGTAAAGAAGAAGAGAACAGTTGGTCCTTTGACAATTGCTGAGGAGGACTTCATTGCCAATGCCTTCAGGAATGTTCCCGACAGCAAACTATCAACAGATGTCAGGCGCATCAAGAGGAAGTTCCTCTTGAGAGAGGTATGTGGACGATCATGCCATCAATCTATCAATCGATCGATAGCATGACACTCACTGACTCACTCCACTCCACTCATACAGCAAAAGAGGAAGGTTGACTTGGAGATGTTCAACCTTGATGATAAGATACATCATTATACATCGCATGTCAAGAAGAAGGATCAGAGACTATCGTTGTACTTTGAAAAGGATGAGATACCATCGTTCACAAAGAAGCCATTGCATTCACTCGAGTCACTCAATGTCACCGAACAGGACAAGCTCAATGAGTTGGTACATCCACTACAAGTGTTTGACACGCAGCTGCAACAACAACAACTGCTGCAACAACAGATGGAGAAGAAGAGGCTGGAGCAAGAGCAATTGAAGAAACAACAGCAGGAGAAGGAGGAGAAGCTGGTGCAAGAAAGACTGCGGCAGGAGAAGCTTGAAAAGGAGAGACTAGAGCAACAAAGGTTGGAGCAGGAGAGGCTGGCCAAGCTGGTACCAAAGCCACCAGCTGTCATATACAATGATGGTGTCAATCAAGTGACTGAATACTTTGACAATGGTACAACAACGACTAAGGAACGACCGATAGTCGCGCCTCCAAGCGCTCCACCACCATCATCAACCGACAAAGATACAAACATGACCGCAACTGCAACGAGCAATGGCTACCTGGCCAAACTCTATCACTGGGACAGCACCAATCAGACCAATCAACAACAACAGCAACTACACCAGCAACAGCAGCAACAGAAAACCAACAACAACAACAACATCACCAAGATCATCAAGCCATTCCAGAGATTGAAGGATAAGATTGCATCACGTGATAACAACATCGATTTGGCTATACAGCCATTCATCAGTCCGTTCACAACCAGAGAGTTGAAGGCATTCATTAGACGCGACTATGAGACAGTCCCTGGACGTGTACTAATGTTGCGCGAGCTCTATCAGTTCTTTGTGGCCAATCACATGGTCCAATACTCGCCACTTGACACAGAGTTCTACCCAATCGACTACCGCTATCTCACTCCAGATCTTGTTGATAAGACACAATGGTTCCTCTGTGATGCCTTTTGGCCAGGTATCGACTGTAAGTGCATACATGCACCAACCAACAATCAACGACGACATCTCCTAACATGAACCAACTTATATTCATTCCAATCAGTGAGCGAAGTACTCGAGTATCCAGATTATACTGTTGTGGCAATGTACCGATCAATGGTCGTTGGCTGTGGAATTATGAACCCAGATGGATATGTAATGTTCCTTTCTGTGCGACCAGACTGGCAGGCAACCGGCATCGGCTCATTCATGCTCTATCACTTGACACAGACAATGATTGGACGAGACATAACACTGCATGTGTCAACCAACAATGCTGCCATGGTGCTCTATCAGAAGTTTGGCTTCAAGATCGAGGAGTACATTGCCAACTTCTATGACAAGTACTACCGCGAAGGGTCTGGGCGATCAAAGGATGCATACCTACTACGCATGCGAAGATAAGACATACTTCACTCTCGATACCGAGACATTCGTCGCACAAACGTCATCATCATAATCATATGGTGTTGGATGCCGATTGATTGATAGTAGGGCAATGTACTCATTCAATCAAGGACCAAAGTACCGTAGGCCACTCCCGCTATACTTGAATGGATTGACATGGACAAGTATCCAATCATCAAGGCTCCAGCCAAACATGACTCAGTACTCTGGTCATCCTCAGAACTCAAGGACAGTCACAGATATCTGTTGTATTAAACACTATCCTATCCTTACCATGTGACAGATGTTTATCTTACACTTCCACCAATACATTCAGGAATTGATTGATGAAGTTTTACTGGAAGTGGGGGAAACGACACCAGAGAATCACTCACAGAACATCACTGCATCCTCCTCCCAATCAATCATTTATTCATTCAATCAATTTAATAACTACGATGAACTTTCTATCTCTACCTACTATTAACATTACCAAGATATTCTGGTTGTTGAATTATAGAGACCATGGAGTTAAGCATGTGGACTTGTGGTGTCTTGCCTTAACATGTAGTAAGCTACATTTATTACATCAACAGTTTATAGGGAAGCTTCACCAATGCTCCTCAAACACCTTACTCCTGGATGTGAACAATGAATGTGGTTATGCCAGCCTACCTTCCACTCTTACATCATTGACATGGTCACCGTTCAATTTGAGATACCAAATGATGGAACTACCGTCATCTCTTACATCTTTGGTATTGAGACAACCAACCTTCCCAAGCAAACTCCCATCATCTATCAGATGTCTTAAATACGATCACAACTTCCCCGATCGTCTAAATGAGGGATCTTTGCCGCCCTCACTTACCTCGTTGGCGATCAATCTTGACATGATTGAGTTGTCGTGGTTGCCAGCGACACTTGAGACACTAATCATTGCAAGATGTAAAGAGCCAATTCATCTTGGACAACTAGAAAGGATTACACCTGCTTTGAAGACTTTGAAGTTTGGTCATTTCTTCATAGAACAGCTAATTATATCTTTGCCGCCTTCTTTAACATCACTTACGATTTCTGGATCGATCAGACAAACAATGCCACCACTTCCTGTATCATTGAAATCCCTCAGATTTGGACGAGGCTTCAATATGCTCATCCCTTCACTTCCTCCAACACTCACATCACTACGCTTTGGATTGAGTTTCAATCGGCAACTTCCAAAGCTTCCTTCAACGTTGACAACCCTCCACCTTGGTACATTCTTCAAACAATCGATTGAATCACTCCCTCAATCACTAACGTCATTGATGTTAGGCGGATACAACCTTCCTTTACCGTCTCTGCCTCCATCTCTCATTCCACTACATTTTGGATATTATTATAACCATCCATTGCCAACTACACCTCTACATTCATTAACATCTTTGCACTTTGGTAACTGCTTCAATCATCCATTGAAAAGTATATTGAAATCATCTCCATTGTTAACATCCCTTAAACTTGGCGAAGCATTTAATCACTACTGTCTGTTTCCAAAGATCAAGACACTGATCTTACCATCTTTGGATAAATATTTGATGTTTAAGCAACGTGTTGCAGACAGCCATCCTGAACATGTTGTTATCAATGGGAGTCAATACTCCAAAGTTGCCAATCTTGTAAGAACACCTATTTTAGGACCAAGATTGAAGACATTGTCAATCGAATTCCTTAAGGACGATTCTGATGCCTCCTCAAAAGAAGCTACTAGGCTGATACTGTCCAGCATAGTCAAGGTGATGCCCAATGTCGAGACATACATTATCGACATTTGTTGGAATTCCGATGAATACGGTTGGATTATGAATTATACACTTAGACAGATAGATCACGACATCCTATTATGTTGTTCAAGGACTTTGAAAGGTCCATACGTCGGCGACTCTCCTTGTAAAAAGTCAATCATATGTTGGAACAACAACAATAAGGTCAATGAATAATGATCATAATGATTGATCACAACCTGACTAGTGATTGGTAATTCAAAACGTTACCAAAAAGTATCCACCAAATAATAAAAATGGAAATTTGGGACGTGTTGATGATGATCATCACTCACACACTTGTTCACTAACTCTCGCACTATCCGACCCCCGCCACACCACTAGCTGCGGCAGTCAGACCACCACTTGCCTCCTGAACCAAATTATCTCTTTGATTCTATTCCTATCTCTTTTATTAGTACTACACATATCACATCACATATTGATTGATTCAGTCTTACGATCGTATTTATTATTATTCTACCCATTCTCATCAAAGTAAATCATGTCTCCACCCATCTACAACGAATTGGTCAAGGTCCCAGCTGGTATGTGTCTCATTCATTCATGTCGACAGATTAGCAGAAGCAGCAGCCAGTAGTGGCAGCAGCGTGCAACAATAATATGATCATTTCAGAAAGGAGACTGACCTGACACTTTGTATTCACATCAACCTCGCTCATTCATTAGATTTGGTCAAGAAGGACTTCCCAGACTCATGCCAGGTTGAGGTCACCAACCTCGTCCCAAACACTCCACTCGTATGATCATTGTTAGGATTAGAACAACTGAACTATAACTGAACATAACTAACCATCATCATATCAAACATCATCATCCAACTATATATAACAGACTTTGGTCTCCACTGTTGCTCGCAAGCAAGACGGTTCATTCTTGCTCACCCTCAACCCAAAGTACACCATCAACAAGAACTCCAAGCTTAGCTTCTCTGCTGACTCCTCCAAGTTTGGCAAGGGTGAGCTCACCATTGAGAAGCTCGCTCCAGGTTTGAAGGCCATCATCACTGTAAGTCTCATTGGGGTCAGTGACACGCAATCATTCATACTATTATACTAATACACTGTCAATCAATCAATCAATCAATCAATCAATCAATCAATCAATAGGCCGACTCGAACAAGGTTGCCCAAACAGAGTTCCAATACATCAAGGACAACGTTGCCTTGACTGCTATCCTCCGCAACAACATGAAGCTGAGCACCTCCCTCGTTCTCAAATACTCCAAGTTCTCTGTTGGTCTGTTGGCCAACGTCAACGGCTCCAAGCAGGAGTTGGAGGGACTCGAGGCCACCTTTGCCTACAAGGACGAGGGTATCCTGGTCGCTTTGTCACCAAAGAACAAGGGACAGTCCCTGGTTGTCTCTGCCTACGACAGAATCAACTCGAGACTCGCCCTCGCCGGTGACCTCACCGTCGACCTCAACGCCCCAGACCAGGCTCCATTGTTCAACGTCTGCGGTCAGTACTACATCGACTCCAAGTCCTTCCTCAAGGTCAAGGTCAACCAGGAGGGCAGAATCGGTCTCGGCTACACTCTCCCAGTCAACGACAATGTCAAGATCGCCGTCGGATACAGCATCAACGGAAAGGATCTCACCTCTGCCGGTAAGAACAACTTTGGTTTCAACGTCAACCTCAACTTCTAAATGCGTCCTGCTTCAGTTTCAACGTCGTTCATCGTACCTACGTTCGTTATCAATCAAATCAATACGCTTGCCAACTCTAATAAATACCCCAATATACATTATCAACAACAATCATCATCAATACTTATATATATTGGAGTGAGTGGATCGTCAAAGGGGTAAACAATGTCAATCAATCAGTGTGAGTCAGTGTTTGATTGATTGATTGAGTGACATCACCCAATCAATCACCCCACTCACCATAACATCCTATTATTATTCATTCACATCCCTACTCTACGTGGATATGATTGGACATGTCATCAATCAATCTACTTGGTGTGCGAGTTGGGATACCAGAGTTAACATTCACAATTCAACTTCACTCCATACTTAAGAATTACTACCTTTCATGTTCATTCTGGCGAGTATCCCCGTCTCCATATGATAGGAAGATAAGAATGACCGACATCTTTGGTTTCCTGGATTGATTATTGATGACCACATCATACATACTAAACATAAGTAATTGACTTGACTTACTCACACATGGGATGATGATGTTAACAACTGATTAACTTTATCTAGACAATGTCAACTACATCATCGGCTTCACTCCACTTTCCACTTTAATTATCTCTATTATTGATTGAACTACAATTTATTAATCAATCAAAGTATTATTAATAGACTTAAAGAGGTATGTTGACGCGAGACCTTACCCAATGTGAACTGACACTCCCTGTGTGGTTGTTGTAAGGTCCACCAAACTCTTTTGCCGACAACCTCCATCCACGAGTATTACAGACACCCCTTCCCATTGTTATGACCCAAGTCCATTCATTGCAAAACAGAACAAGAATACGAGTATCGCACAATATTTGATCACGGTGATTGATTTGTGCCACGAAAATCATTAATTTGATTTATTATTTAATATAACTTTGATTACAAGCCACACCTCCCCAATCTATGGCTTGTGATGTTGCCTTTGGAATATCCAAAAACCGAGTCCTGTTGTGATTGTCGTTTCTCACAAAGCTTCACTTCACTTCAGCAACAACAACATCAACATCAACATCAACATCATCCATACACTCTCACATCACTTTCCAATAACAAATAACAACAATAACATCTAATACATACTTACCTGACAACCTAAATCTTATTCCAACAACCTTTCCACTCTCCACAAAACAACTATACCTTTACACTCTATCTCTCTCAACTTGATTCCATTCATTCACCTCTCCTTCTCCAACCATCCAATCAATCAATCAATCAATCAAACATACAAGTACCTCAAGCCTTATACTTCTATAACAATAATATGAATATTGTAAGCATTACTTGTTCCTGTTTTTATCTATCCCTCTCTTTCCTATTCGGGAACAACAATCCTTCCAGCCCTGATCTGGAACTCTCACCCACACCACTTTGCTATCCTTGTGCTCCTTTGAAGGTCTCTCTCTATCAAGACACTTATACTATCACTTTTACTCTCAGCCATCACACTTTCTATCTCTTTGTTCCACACCTCTTGCTCTATTCTCACTACACATACATCCACATCGTCACTATCATCAACACTCAAGTTCACCCACCCACACACCCTTTGATCAATCCATCACAATCCGGAGCGGGTGCGAGGGTGATTGATTGTTTATCACTAATAATAATAATAATAATAAGTGTGATAATATCCGGAACTTGCTTGCTAGCTCAAGAGCAACTGCCTGCCTCTACAACAACACTTTTATATCTTGTCCTTAAACTCTCGCCATATCACAACCCATCCCATCAATCCATCCATCAATCCACCCATTCAAACATTCATAGGTGGCGCCAACCTCCACCCACCTCCTTCCTTCTTCCCTTCCCGTCCCTTCCTTCCTCTTTCCATCTCTAACAACCAACCAACCAACCACCTTTCACTTCACGTCTATTCACAACCTTCCTCCTCTTGTGTTATTGTTAATGTTGATGATGTATTCGACCAATCAGCAAGCGCCTTTTTTTCTCATCACTCCACTACATATCTCCATCCATCCGTCCGTCCTCCTCTCACTCGAGTACACTAGAGTTAGTTTGTTTGTTAGTCTCACTCATCCATCTCAACTTCACCAAGGTGATCAAAGGGATGTTCACACTGTAGCTCTTCATCATCAACATCATCAATTCAATAACAATATCTTCATCAATCATTCATTCACTCATTCAAAACTTTCAAACTATCTTTCCATCTCAAACAAACAATCTATTCCATCCACATTGATGATATGGATATTGACAAACGCCTTCGCTACTGTTGCTGTATAAAACATACATAGTCTACAGTCTCTACCGAATCAATTATCATCATAGCCCCTCAAGTATACACAGCAGCAACGGRATCAAAGTCAGATATAAGCCTACCCAGCATAATCACTTTGGTTTCTCAAAAATCAAGAAGTTACATCATCAAACGGTCATCAATCGTCGAACATCAATCATCAATCAAGTCAYMAGTCAATCAAGTCAAATCAATCAAATTAATCAAGGCAATTAACTTGGTCAAAAAGTACATATTTGGTAAGCTTACTTAATATATCCATCATATCATTTATGTATATATATACACATCACACCTTGGAATTGCATATCACACATTGGATCATTCATGCCACCAAGCCAGCCATCTTCATTATCATCTTCATAATGATCTTGGAATCCACAGATCATCCAATCTAAAGATTGGATCGACTTGTCATTTGGAAGGTGTCATCTTCAACTCACACATCATCATCATCAACATCATCAACATCAACATCCATCATAATCATCATCGTTCATTTCAGATAAGTGACGCATCCTATTCCATCATCTCATTGGCTATGTTAGATTGATTGATTGATTGAATGATTGATTGATTGATTGTAGTGTGAGTGTGGATGTGAGTGTGATCATCAATAGACAACTTCCATTCACTTTTCACATTCATTCATTATATCACCTCGATCAAACAATTCGCTCAAAGCAACGTAGCCAGTGATTGGTTCATCAGACGAGTGCCTGTTAGACACTCAACTTCTCATTTTTTGACAAAGTGGGAACTTGATGTGTTTTGCAAGTTTTGCGTCGTGTGCAAAATGTTTGATTGATCATTCACACTTTGATTTGTGTGTGGCATTGTCCAACATCAACGACACCCCGCGTCTCCCCAGACGTGCCTTCACTCACGGTGCTCACTCGTCGCGATGTGTTTGTGTGTGGACCAACTAACTGACATTCAGTCAGTGAGTGAGGTTGGATGGTTGTGTTCATGGCTGAACTACCCTACCATGCCCATCAGTGGGCACACCTCCCTCATCAATCAAATCAGAGCAGATTAACAATAATAATAATAACAACATCATCATCAGCGACAACAACATCACCATCATCACCATTATAATCAATGTTAAAATAGATACTCTTTTTAGTTTTGTAATTATTGTATTGTATTGTAGATAGACTAGTATTATTATTGTTGTTGTTTTGCATACTGTTCTCGACCAAGGTTGAACCAACGCATTACAATATCCAACTTCCACATCCACATACATACATGTTATTGTGATCAGGTCTAACTTATTATTATTATTATTGTATTATACTCTTTTTCTTCACACACACACACACACACAACATCACAAGGTCAAGGGTCCCTCGCCTCGATCGAACACACGACCCATTCCTGTTAACGAGTTGGCACAACATTACAATATTCTCACTTCCATCCAACCAATCAATCAATCATTCAATCAATTTAATTTAATTAACACATCTACTACTCGTTCGTCTTTATTTATTTATTTATAAATATATAACAAATAACATATATAATAATATAATACTGTAACATTAATATATATTAATAATTTGTTTGAACAATTGAATGTGTACGTTTATAACAACAATCATTATTATTATAATTATTAACTCAAACTTTATTTAATCACCTTTTAGAATTATTTAGGTCATTTCCAAAAGACTTAATCAATCATTTCCCTAAAGTAGGATAAATCAATAATCAATCAATATCAATCAATTTTAACTTATATATTGTACCATGTAAGTATTATATCAAATATTCCAATGTTGATCAATTATATTAACAATCAATTCAAATCCAGTTCCACACAAACTCACACTCAATCACATCACTTCATCAAACACACTTTCAAGATGAATGAATTTGCACTGTCTACAGGAGTGACACCATGCACATCATGGACAAAGCTCCAACCTATACTCGAGAAGCATATTTTAAAGAGTCAATTGCCTGGTATGGACAAGGGCATGGACGTCCTGCTTCAATGGTTCGAAGTAATTGCCAGGAGTTCAGACAAGATCAACGCCTTTAAATCAATTGTTGGATTATGGTATGTTGTGACCAAAGTTGATGTTGGTTGGATTCCAAATGATCACTAACCATACATTTATGTTCGTTCGATATAGTCCTGACTTGGCCGAGGAGAAGAGGAATAGACTTACAAACTCAACATCTTCAATTGCTGATTTGATCGAGAGGACTACTGCCGCAGCGGCAGCAGCCGCGTCATCATCATCATCTTCATCGTCAGATGAAAAGAAGAGGAGCATGATGACAATGGTTGAAGACGAACTCGACATGAGGAACAAGAGAATGAGAGTATCTCGTCTACTATGCAATGAGGAGTTGCCAACAATCACATGCACAAACACAAGCTCAAGCTCAACAACTTCAACCTCAAGTACGAGCACGAGCACAAACACAAACACAAACATGGAGGCAAAGTCAGACGATGATCAATCAGAGGGAGTTGGCGCAGACTATGAGGAGGAGAACAGCTATCAAGATAGTTTTGATAGCCAGTCGCCAGAGGATCACGCCGCCACTGAGGATTATCCAGGTAGCGACGATGCCACCGCCATGAGCAAGATGAACAGTGCGCATCTCTTGTCCTCCAGTCCCAAGTCGGCGGTGGCGGCAGCCGTGGGCGGCCTATCGCCCTCACCCAAGCAATTGATGATCATCCGTGAGAAGATGATCGAGTACGTGCAGAAGAACCCAAGCGCCTCGCGCCCCAGCTGCATCTCAGTTTGCCAACAGCCTTCGTCCAAGGTGGTCTGGAAGAATCGTCGTCTGGACACGCCATTCAAGGTGCGTCTCGACGTCAAGACTGCCAGCCAGATGGCCAACCAGCCACTGTCCGTCTCAAACGTCGTGGCATTGGGAGTTGTCACCGATCACAAGGGCAAGCTGCAGATTGACTCGGTCGAGAACTTCACAGAGGCCTTCAACGCGCAGGGTCTGGCCGTGTTCCAGGGTCTCAAGATGACCAAGGGCACATGGGGCAAGGAGTGGTCATTGACGTTCATTGCCGTGGCACGTCCCGCCAACTCATACAGCAACGCCACCATCCTCTCTGTCTCGCAGCCCTTCCCGCTCGTGGTCAAGACACGCAAGAACCCACAGATTCGTCACAATCATGGCGCAAGCTTGGGCGCATCTGGACTCTCTCAGAATGGCACCGTCAACTCTAGCGAGAACTCATCTTCTTCGCCCGAGGGCTCGCCCACCATCGCCCCCAGGCGAGGACGCGCGCCAGCATCGGCGCCACTCATGTCGCTGCAGTCTCGCGGCGGTGCATTCCCCTTCTCGGGTGAGGCCAACACACAGATCCGTTTCCCTCAAGACGACATGGCCAGTCTATTATGGGCAGCTGAGATCAAGCAGCGTGAGCATGGTTCTGATGGTGATACACCAGATGTCAAGAGCAAGCCATTGGTGCCATCATCATCGTCATCATCATCAGCAACACTATTGTTGAATGCCACTGCTCAGACTGCAGTGTCCACTCGATAATACCAACAACACAACCCTCTCTTCATTGGAGCATGGTCTCCATGGACTATATATCAACCAATCACTCTCACGCACTCCCCTGGCGATCAATCTCCATCATCATCCACCCATCCATCCACACCTACACACTCGACAACATTCAATCAATCAATCAATCATCAATCAATCAATCATGTACACACTGCGTATATCATATTTATACTCATAACCAAATAACTATTAATCACCAGCTGGTCAACCAACAATACTTGGCCTAGCACTTCAACGACAACGACCAACGATAGCGAATAACGATCAAAGACAACGATAATAACGATAACGATAACGATAACGACAACACCATCAGTATATGCAACAAACAGTAATATTGATATTAGTTCCTTGTATTCAACAACAACAACAATGGAACATGTAATATATAATATATAATCAATCAACGATAACAACATCAACAACAAATAACAACAACAACGCAGACCAAATACAACTGTTTGGAATTAATCAATCAACAATCAATGCAATCGAATCATTCCTAGTCAGCCAACTAATGCTAGGATGATATTTATATAATATATTAGTTACACATCATCGCAGCCTCCTCCTCCTCCCTTTCCAACCCATCCAATCAATCAAACCAACCAAACTCGCCCGCCAACCCCAAGTCCTTTCCAAAGKTTTGAAACTTTCAGGACATCTCTTTGTCCCTCAATCTCTCTCTCTCTCTCTCATCCCTTTTGGGATGACATGCTATGCCAGTCCACGCTACGCCACGCCAAGGTGCACTTGACCAAGCATTCATGTAATACTACACTGATCATTTGTCAGCTTCAATAAATATCTCTTTATAATTAATTAACAATCTCATCTCTTGCATCAATTTTCAAAATGATTTAGAGCCAAAAAATGGCGTGGACTTGGTTTACAAACTCACTTGTTACTCAGTTAGTTTGAATAAATAGAGAGATAGATATAGATTTTGWKATATAGATAATCAATACACCGTGATAATGGAGTATATGGTCAAGGATTTTGTTAGATCATTGATCACTCCAATCGACTTGCTCAATGCAATGCCACAATTGTCCAAGGTAACGAATTATTGATTGAATGAATGGCAGAGTGTATCAACAATGTGTCTGACTTGAATGAACTCAACAATATATGATTAGATGTATGATAGACTACCTGATAATGATCCAACACGACTACGTAAATTGAGTAAATTAACAGAGAGATTCTTATATGTCACTGACCAAGATCATAAGTTGGAGGATGTTTGGCGCTTGCATCAACAATCCATCAATGTTACAAAACTCTCTACACTGCCCAACATCACAATAACATCTTGTGACTTGGCATTGGCTATACTCCGTTTTGCAGCCTTTGACATTGACTCGAGAAGCAGAACAAATACATCCTATGCATTCCTACTCGATCGTGAGTTTGTTGAACTGTTGTTGTCCCAGTCCCAGGCCAAACAACAACAACTACAACAACAACAACAACAATCAACGATGTTGCTGGATCAACTTGCACTTGGATATGGACTTGCTCAACTCAGAGGAGCATTGATCGACGTTATCAACTATTTTGTGCCGTCATCATCATCATTCAGCATCCATTTTTATCCAGCAACATCGAACGTGTTCGACATGCCAAACTACAGTCGTCAACTCATTCATAAGTGCTTTGGCAAGGATCGTGTGCAACTTGTGTTGGAGCAATGGTTCCTCACCTCGATGGACAACATCAAGGGCGAGTACAATAGCAACACTGCGGCCTTGTGTATGCTTCACCTTGTACTCATTGAGGATAAGACACAAGATAATCTATTGGCCAATCACAAACAGATTGTATTCGACTTCATCATTTCAACCTGTACTCACCTGGAGCAACACATTAAGTTGCTTGAACAAATGGACAATAGTGCACATTTGGATGACCTGCGCGATGTACTTGATGTCATATTGGATGAAGCAATGGACAATGACAATCAACAACGTATCATTGGATTGTTCACTATGTCCAATGATCCACGACACCTCAACATCCTATTCAACATCTTCCATCAACGTATACATCGGCTAAAGAACTTCAAGCCACTCTTCCCCACCCTAACCTTTACAAACAAGAGCAGAATGATAAAGGCCATGGGACCATCATTCCAAATTGTAAGACTTATTCAAACATTCAACTCTTTAGATCAATCCAGATTACTCATAATCTATCAAACCAATCAATCAAACATACTATAGTACTTCATTAATAATGAGTCGGAATTAGTTAACTCCATCAATTCTACTCTAGAATCATGGCAGAGCTTGGCTATACTTGATGGAATGACCAGTTGCTACGTAGGCCTCAACCAGAAGTTACCAAAGTCGTTAATGGATCGCCTGGAGAAAATCCATTTATATCAATTTAATCAGAGAAATATCGATGGACAAGCACTGAGCTCTTCAAGAGTTGGGGATGCCATTGTCAGAGGCATGTTGGGGGTCTACCAATCAACTGTCGGCAACCCCCGCTTTAGTTCTATGTTCGATCATGCCATGTCCTTCCTCATGATTATGGACCGATGTCCATCACTGAATCGTGAAGTCGTTGAGGGATTCCCCGAGGAACTGAAGAAATACGCCATCAGTCAGGTGGGTCATCGCTATCAATCAATAAGGAACTATGACCTGTGGGCCTTATGTTTCCATCACTCACTTCTAACCGATGACCATCTCAAGTCTTTGTTGACTCAGCTGAAGACTCACCTGGAGGACTCTCCCGCAGGACCATTTATCAACCGATGTCCTCATCCCAACAATACATGGATGGACTATGTGGAGATAGCMAATCAACTTTAATGTGGATCAGAAGGTACAATAATGGCCGACACACTATTATACCACTCCATACTGTTGTCTCTAATTTGTACCCACATATCGCCATGCACTGTCGATACTCAGGTCCAGTATTCCATTTCCTCAGTATGCCTACATTGTTCGATCTATCCACTATTCAGAATGGGTCACCAAGTTACTAAAGCCACTCGACCGTGATTATCAGTATGAGTTGGACCATCAGTCATACATCCAGTTCAAGTTGAACTCTTCTCGTCGCATTGGCAAAGGACTAAGGAAGCGTGTGCCACTGCCATCCTTGACTGGACGGGCCTCAATGAGTCTGTCCCAACTCCCACATATCATCATCAGTCAAGTACTTGAGTTGGTGATACGCAATCACAATGGTTTGGATGGTGGACAGCATTGGATAGTTGGCCTGGCCACAGTGTCCAAACTGTTGCATACACTGTGCGCATCGATAATCACTCATTCATTTGTTCCTTCACTTCGAATATATTCAATAATCAAACATTTAGGACCCAATGGACTATGTCTCCTCAAAGACACACCACGACATATCCATGCCACTGACATTGTACACTTGCACTCTGATGACAGACATCAATGTCTTGGCCGACTAACACATTTGACCGTACCATTCGCCAAGATATTCCTGGATAATAGTGGCCTCCTGTACAACATTAAATTCATCATGGTCCATGCACCTCATCTCCAGCATATCAAGTTTGTCGAGCATCTTTTAAATCATGATGAGTTCGATCAGGCTCTCAACAGGGTGGGCAATCAAAGTACACTGGAGACACTTGAGGCCCATTCCCAAAATCATCAAGTAGTCACATCCACAGACCCTCAGCCGTGCATTGCCCGAATGATCAGAAAGTACATTGAGATGTGTGAAGACACTGTACACACAATTGAATACCAATCATCCAATAGTAGCAGAGACCTATTGGAGTTGTCAGTTCGCAGACACTATATGTTGACCAAGGACACGCCAGAACAAGAGCTAATACGCATTGGATCGTTTTCTCAAAACAGTACCCTGGAGCATCAATCCAAACAATGCAAGGCGGTGGAACTTGAAGTTAATATTCACAGTTACACGTCTAGTCCAGATAAGGAGGGAGCATTCCAGCTGTACTACCTCAATACCAAGATGGTACCATTCTCACTCACAATCGAAGCTGACAACATGAGGGATGTGGGAAGATTTCTCCCAAAGTGCGCCACATCACTCTCATCACTGACCATCCAACTTTATGACATTGAACGATTGATCAAAGCAGAGGTTGGTGGAGCATTGGAGACAGAAATATCAAACCTTGTGACCGATCTCACTGATCAGGCAATCTTCCCTGCACTGAACAGAGTGTCATTGATGATGATTCTGCAGGATGGACGTAAATGTCCACTCAATCGTCAAGCAATCTCCAGTCTGTCCACCATTCTCCAATTCCAGCCAATAGAATATGACTATCCAATTACATTCGAAAGGGTACTGTCTGACGTTGCTGTCGTCAATCATTAAAGTTTGGTTTGACCCATAATCAAACATGTCTTTATGAGTTTGAGTGTGATTGGGTGAGGGTCGGGTTATTGAACCTCAAGCAAATGACTTCGTGGTCTTCAATGACTCATCATCTTGTACACAATCCTAAACATATATATAATACATTATCATAGGTTGATGATTAGTTCATAGTCATTGTATACAATCATGTCTAATCCAATACAACAATATCAACAACAGGGATATCCAACACAACAACAAGGATATCCAACATCGACACCATTGCCACAACAACAACAACAACAACCTCAATATTATTATAATCAACAACAGAATCAATATCAACAAGTACCACCTTCAACATCTACAATGACCTATCAGACACCTCCACCTCAAACGTCAGGTGTGGCAGGAGTAGTACCACAACAACAACAGGTCTATCCTCCTAATCCCAATGTATACAGCGCATCTCCAGCACCTCAACCTTTTCCAACCAGTGAGCAAACAAACAACAACAATCCCTACAACCCTACTCAACATCAACAACAACCTCCCTCAACAACAGCCTATTCACCCTTTACTCAGCAGCCTGTCCAGGGCATGCCCTACGTAGGGCAGCCACAAACACAACCGCAACCACAACAACAGTACTACTCTCCTCAGCCACAGCCAACAGGACAACATTATCCATACCAGCAACAGTATCCCCAACAACCACAACAACCACAACAACAGACATATCAACAACAGATGCCAAACATGCAAGGCCTGTCACTGGGACCATCACTACCAAACCCAGTGATACCATCTAATATGATGCAACCACAGGCGACACAACCAAAGGGAGGCGACAACAGGATCAACGCATCACAGGTACCCAACCCCGCGACCATCCTCGATCACGGTCGTTCTTACGTGTACAACACCAGCTCGATAGATACACCACCACCTTCGTCCATTCAGCAGGAAGTTGTCGACCAGCTGTGCTCTGGTCCACTATTCATGCGTTCGACCATCTACACGCTGCCACCCACCGATGAGATACTCAACAGCTCGCACCTGCCCTTTGCCATTCACACCACACCATTGGCGCACAACAATGTGCCCATCATCGATCATGGCGCTCAAGGACCCGTTCGCTGCACTCGCTGTCTCGGCTACATGAACCCCAACAACACCTTTATCAATGGAGGCAAGTTCTATGTCTGCAAGCTCTGTGACTATGAGAATGATGGTATGTACTTAAGATCAGTGAGTAGATGTTGATGTGTCGCGCAAGCCTAGACTAACACTCGCGTCTTAAACAGTCCCCCAACATTACTTTAGCGCTACATTGGCCAATGGCCATCGCACTGACTTTGAGCAGAGACCAGAGCTGCAGCGAGGTTCGTACGAGTTCATTGCCAAGCAGACGAACGAGACACCAGTGATACCGGCATACATCTTTGTGATTGAAGTGTCGGCCAACACTGTGACGTCTGGCGTGCTGACAACGGCGATCGAGGCCATCAGGACAGTTTTGAACGAGCGCAGCGATATGACACCTCGCAGGATTGGCATCATCACGTTTGACACAGAGGTGCACTTCTGGAGCTTCAAGAAGACTTACAACATGCCTCAGATGAAGGTCGTTGCCAAGGGCAGCGTCTTTGTCCCCGGACAGCAGGACGCCTTCCTAGTGGACTACACCGAGTCAAAGCATTTGGTCGACTACTTCTTTGACAACATTGCCAACTTCTTCCGCCATCCACACGACATCCAGCGCGAATTTGCCTTTGGCGCCGCCGTGCAGACGGCCGCGATGTCACTGGAGAAGTGCGGCGGACGTCTGTTTGTGCTGACCACCAACCTACCCAAGGGCAGTCCCGGTGCCATTCCTAAGCGCGAGCAGAGCAAGGAGAAGACAATGGTGCCCTCGCCCGCCTACAACAGCTTCTACAAGTTGGTTTCGCAGCATTGTGCGACGTCCAACGTCATGGTAGATCTATTCATCATCCCCGGCGAACTGGTCGATCTGACCACGACCGGCTACCTGGCCACATCGACAGGCGGCCACATCCACTACTACCCACACTTCAATCCAGACACGGCCGACCAGCTTCACAGCGACTTGGTACACGCGGCTACCCAGCCATACGGCTTCAAGGTCGCTATCAAGATCCGTTGTTCACGTGGCCTGACTGTGAGCAACAACTATGGCAACATTGTCGAGGAGAATGGCGAGATACACATTGCAGGAATCACCAACGACAAGTGCATAACTTCACTGATCAAGTACGACGACAAGCTCAAGCCCAAGACAAAGGCTTACATCCAGTTCGCCATGATGTACACGACAATCAAGGGCGAGAACCGCATCCGTGTACACAACCTGCGCTTCAACGTCGCAGACACGGTCGTCTCGTTGTTCAAGGACGCTGACATCGACTCGATCATGACCGTGCTTGGACGTTATGCCTGTCGCGACATCATCACAACACCGCCCAGCCAGGTGCGTACCAACACCGTGGACAATGGCATTGAACTGCTCGCGGCATACCGCAAGAACTGCGCCGCCGACAAGGCGCACACACAGCTCATCTTGCCAGAATGCTTCAAGCTACTGCCCATCTACACGCTGTCCATGATGAAAACGCCCGCCTTCCAGATAAACTCCAACGTCTCGCCAGACAACAGGTTCTACGTGATGAACCTCCTGGCCTCGTTGCCCCCACAGCGCATCATTCCCCTCATACATCCGCGCGTCTATCCCATTCACAATCTGCAGGCCAACCACGGCACTCTGCACCCCGAGCACAAATCCATCATGCTGCCCGCATTCGTGCGTCTCTCATTGGAGAGTGTGACGCAGGATGGCGTGTATCTCTTTGAGAACGGCATCAACATCTACCTCTGGGTCCAGCAGTTTGCCTCACAGAATGTCTTGCAAGACCTATTCGCCGTGGACTCTGTCGTGGGCCACAACGCATCAAAGCTGACCAAGTTCTTCCAATCATTGAATGGCGCCAACCAGTATCATCAGCGAGTGGAGAACATCATTGGTGAGATCATTCGACTGCGAGACATGGATCCAGCCAAGCAGGTGCAGCTGGTAGTTCAGAACGACTACCTGGACTCGTACCTCCGCCAGCACATGTACGAAGACAAAGGACTGGACTCAATCTCATACATCGACTTCTTGTGTCAGATCCACAAACAGATACAGAACAAGCTTTCGTAAGATGGGTGGCTCTGAACACACATCCACCGACCAGTCATCCAGCCATCCATCACCCGATGGACCCACCTGCCGATGGTGACAACATCCCCCATACTGCAGTCGGTTCGGTTCCATTCCAATACATACCCTAAGCTATCTCACTTCCCATTTATTGTGCTCTTGTCTTATTGACCCGCGTTAGTGATCGTCGACCCTTGGACGACAACGATGCGCATGACTTGTTGGCCTGTACATAGGTCACTCATATGTGGTTGGTTGGCCTTAGATGTTCAAGATGACCAACATCAACAACTACCACCTATGATTAGTAACAGCATCGACACATACCACCTCTTTCGCGCGAATGGCCATTGCCCAACGCGTTAGAACGAGTCGACACGACGACGACTTGCCAATCCAATCCAATCGGTTCCGTTGATTGATGGGATTTTAAAATATCTTGGAACCTCTTGGGGATGGTAGATATTTTTAACAAAACACATCTTAGGGCGCGACTCTTCGAGGCCGACAAACGACCCTTCAAGTCATGGGCGAGGGGGTGCGATGGCGCATACCGTCCGTATGTACAATTTACTGTAATTATGTTCAACTCACGGCCATTCATCAACAGACGAATGAACGGCAAAGGGGGTATGTTTGTTTGATTGATAGACACATGCCATCTCCGCCTCGCGCTTTGTTGTTGTTCAAGTCAACAGCAATATAAGTTCAACATGTCAACCATCACTATATTATTTATTTATTTATTTATTTATTACTATATACAGATACAAAACATTAACCAATCATGAGGATGTTTCAACAATGTAAGTATCAAAGTTCGAAAACCTGGAACTATACCAGCCTCGCCCCTGATCACAAAGACTAACACAACCCCACTCAACCACTCACACCCACAATAGTGTTGGTCATCTTGGTGATCTCGTCATCTCTGACATATACTTATGCTCAGACATGTTCGACTTCTTCGACTTGGAGAGATCCAGCACCAAGTGCTAATGGACCAGTCTCACCACCCATTGCTACAACCATCCCAGCAAAGACAATGACATTCAGCACACCAGTGATGTGGAATGGCTTCAGTGAGTATGGTAACACAGGATCGTTTGCCTTGGCCACCGGCTCGTCCAATGGCGTCAATGTCGCTGGCACCATTAAGTTCACCACACCCCGACTGGTTCCCCGACAACATCTACTTGGTTGAGCGTGACCCGATCCCCGTCCTGCGCGCCGGCGTCGAGCACACGTTCAACTTCACCTTCCTCTCGGGCCAAGCACCAGAGTTTGGCAACACCATCTCCAACATTACACTCCAACTGCACCCATGGTTCAACACGACTGTTGCACCAGGCGATCGCTACCTTATGCCAGACGACGTTGCCTACCCCTACTATGAGCATACATTCCTCGGCAACCTTGGCCAGACCAACCAGTGGATGGCCCTCAGCCACAAGTTCACCCCCAGCGTCGACCTCTTCTCATCCGTGCTGCTGTTGCGTTGGTCTCACCCAACCAGAGTTACCTCGCACACCTTCTACATCCAGTCCTCATCGCTGGCCTTCCCCGCCCTCCCCATCACCATCCCACCCCTGCGTCCATCATACAACGAGTTGACCAACCTCCCAGTTCAGCCAACTACCACAGTGCCCCAGAGCATCACCACATGTCCACACCAGCAGACCGGACTCAAGCACTGGCACAACCCCGCCACATGGCCAAACTCAGTTCTGCCCCACCCAGCCAACACCATCACTCTGCCCGCCAACTCCAAGGTACTGATCTCTTCATGCTCACTCAATTCCAATGTGGTCTTCACCAAGATCGTCATTCCCGCCACCAGTCAGCTGATCTTTGGTGATGCCAACATCACCATGCGTGTCAAGGACATCGTCGTCAACGGTCAACTCTGGGTCGGTAGTCCAACCTGCAGAATGAATGGCAACATTACACTCATCTTCCACGGCACCAAGACCTTGAACAACACCCTGGGCACCAATGTCGGCTCCAAGGGTATCTACGTTCCAACTGGCGGCTTTGCCAGCTTGCACGGAAAGCAATATACACCCACCTGGACACGTCTTGCCGCCACCGCCTTCCCCGGCGACTCTGTCATCTCGCTCCAAAGCTCAGTCAACTGGGAGGTCGGCCAAAAGGTCGTAATCACCACTTCCAGGATCGAGGACGAGTACACCCTCGAGAATGAGGTTATGACCATCGCCGCCATCAATGGCCGTGTTCTCCAGTTCACCACTCCACTCAAGTTCTACCATTATGCCGGCTCGGAGTACCAGGTTGAGGTAGGTCTGCTCTCGCGTCGCATCAACCTCATCTCCCATCAGCCCGACACCACTGGCGACATTGGCGCCCACGTTTTGGTCACTGGTGAGGCTCAGATCGCTGGTGTAGCCGGCACCCGGATGGGTCAGCGCAACATCATTGGTCGCTACCCCTTCCACTTCCACTTTGCCAAGACTGTCAAGAAGTCCTACATCACCGACTGTGCTGTGATCAGCTCATTCTTCCGTTGCTACACCATCCATGCCACCAACAACCTTACCGTCGAGAGGAACGTTGCCTACGACGCCACTGGACACTGCTACTACATTGAAGATGGAGTTGAGGAGAACAACACAGTCTCGTACAACTTTGCCGCCTTTGTCCACTCTATTGGCGCGCCAGCCAATGGTGGCGGCCAAGGTGGAGACTACTTTGAGGCCAGCGCAGACCTCGCTCAACCTGCCGACTCGACCGCTGGAGGATTCTACATCACCAACGCCTACAACACATTCGTTGGCAATGCAGCCTCAGGAGGTTGGGCCGGTTTCAGTTTGCCCAACTTGGTCAAGCCCATTGGCCCAAGCAGAACCGTTGACATTGTACCCAAGGAGCGTCCATTCATCAAGTTCTACGGTAACTCTGCTCACTCTGCCGGTTACTTCTGGACATTTGGCTCATGTATCTATGTTGGAGGCGCTCTCTGGGAAGACGAGAACAACAACAATCAATTGCTCTACTTGTCTGGCCGTAATGAGCGTGTTACCTACTTCTATGGCACCGACATTGTAACCTACCTACGCTTCAACAACACCAAGGCTTTCTTGACAACTGGCCAAGCCATCTCTCACTGGGGCGCCTACGTTGAGGTCGACCAATATGAGGCTCATGACATTGGTCGCGCCGGATCACTCTTTGGTCAAGCATGGCTCAACAATGCCATCGTCAATGCCATGTCTGGCAATCCATTCGCTCAAGGACCACAGTACCATCGCCAGGGCTTTGAGTTCTACGACACACTCGTCCAGACCGTGTTGACAAACATCAACTTTAGAAACTACATCCACAACCCAGCCGCAGAGTACATTGATGAGGATAACGTTGTCTTCATGTCGCTCACTCACTCTGATGTCTACAAGCCCCAAGGTATCAGCGCAGTCAGGAACATCACCTACACCAACGTCAACCCCAGCCAGATCCTCGGTCACTACGTTGTGGACTCTGGTTCCTCGCGTTACTTCAACTACATGGACTGGGACGGAAGCTCCACTCTCAACTACCCCAACAAGACCCTGGTTGGCTCGCATCAGAACTGGTGGAACCACGACAAGAACTGTGTGTTCAACCCACACAACATGGGTGTCTGGGTCTGCTCACCCAAGCGTCCAGAGATCGAGGTGGCCGCACTCGATGTTCTCATCGAAGGAGTGATCAACTACAACGAGACTTTGTATGATGGCTACCCCGCAGAAGACAAGGTCGGCAACTTCTACCTGTTTGGCAATGGAATCACCGACAGACGTGTGATGCCAGTTGCTGGCAACCCAGGAATCACCGGTGTTTCCAACATGGGATGGTACCTCAACCTCAACAAGGGATCGCCAACCTACCACAAGATCAATGTGTTCCAGGTCACCTACGGTCATTGGATCATGTACGCCATGTCATTCCCAGCCGGCACCACCTTTGACATCAGCACCACTCATCCACGTGAGGAGTCATTCAATCGCACTGTGACCCAGGTTAGCACTTTGAACCAGGTGCTCAATGGTGATGGTACCAAGTACTACTTTGACCAAACACACTTGTACGTCAAGATTGTTGACTTCTCGATTGTGAACCCAACACCAAAGGAGTTCAGTCGTGGAGGAGCCATTGTCTACGACACCAACATTCCATTCATATGGTTCGTTGAGTTGACCTACCACATCACAGCCAACTGTCCACCATCAACCATTGTCAATAGGCCAATGGGTCAGTTCTGTACTGTCACTGATACTCTACCATACTATTAATAAAGTCACTACTTTGTGTCCTAGGACACCATGACAACCTATCCATAAGGTTCAAAGATATAGCGAGGTGACTTGCATTCTCAAGCTAAATTCAATACTTTTCTTTGGAACAATATTTATCAGATTACCAAATCTGGATGGACTTTGGAAATATATATTTTATTGGACAACGACCTTGTGGAAATTTTTATTTATACCCGTCAACTATCATATACAACAACAAACAAATAATAATAATAATGTCAGCTTGTATAAAAGTAGTATTCTGTTTTGTATTGGTATTCACCTTGTTGTCATTGGGCAGCATGATAACAGGTGCAATTCTTTTTAGTCGAGAAAAGAATCAACAAGTCACTGCTCAATGTTTGGTTACCAACTTCACCGTTGTGGAAAGTACCTGTGGCCATTCTGATGAGGCAGCCCCAACATACACCTATCTCCCCACTCCAACTATCTTACTCAAATCTTGGAAACAAGTACATTCATATTACAAGTGCTATATGTGTGACTTTACCTTTCAGATAGAGTATGAAGGAAAGAATTACACTGACACTGAAACTGATCAATCTGATTGGGCAACAAGTCCCACTTCAGCCCAAGAGATGTGCCAAAAGAAGACATCAATCAAATGCTTTTACCGAAGAAGACACCCAGAGACTGTCACATTGGACCACCTCAAACACATGAAGCTTGGACTGATCCTAGTAATTGTATTCTCAATAGTATCATTCATATCATTAATATTATTAATTATATTTGCTTTTATGGTTTAAATTGTTAAAGAAATAAAATAAAAAAATAATTAATCTTCTAATCACTATAAAGGGATCAGTACTTTATAAGTCTCCAGTCAAATCAAAATTCTTAATATACAAAAGATATTCTATCTGTTTATAAATTAGTTTATATTACAATAATATGAAAGGAGAAAATATATTTGTTTTAGTTATATCAATAATTTTGAGTATATTAATAGTTGTTTTATTCATAGGAGTCGCATTGTTGGTTAAAAGTGATTCAAAAATTTCAACTACTGAATGTAATATAACTAAGTGCATAGCTGAGACATGTTCCATTAATGTAAGTAGAAAAATAATTATTTAAAAGATTTAATATTATATTAATATCCACAACAAATAATAGTTTCAATATTCTCTTGAAAAAGGAGGAACTAATTACACAGGTTATGAATGTTGTGTCGTTACCCCTCATCCGAAAGAATATTGTAAACTATTAACTTCGACAACATGTTATTATATTACAGAGGATCCAAGTACAATAACTCTAGACCGTTACAAATTTACTAGTGTACCAGGAATGATTTTAACTATTCTTTTTGGAACTCTATCATCAACAATTCTATTCATCTTAGTATTCATAGGTTGTTTGAATTGGTTTGTGAAACCTAAACCCAAAGTGGATCAATATGAATTAGAAAACTCGGATAATTCAACAGCTAAATACAATTCAATGGATATGCCAACAATGAATAATTCCTTTCAAACTCATCAATAATAGTTTATGACTAAGATAAATTTCTAGACTAGTTTAATAAAACATTTAACTTCTTGTATCTTGAAGTTATAAATCTTTTAAAGAATACAGAGGAACAAGAATAATCGCCCAACAATTCCATCAAAAAATCGATGGATAATTATAATTCAGTGAAAAAAACAAGTGTTTGGGACTTGTTTGCAGGCCTTGACCTGTCGGACAACGATCACTAAAAAAATCTATCTCTCAATCCACCAATCAAACAATCATACAAACATACTATCAATCAACAACAGGATGTCACGTAGAAAGACTGTTATTATACTATTCAGTGTATTTATTGTCTTGTCATTGGGTGCACTCATAGCAGGTGCATTCGTCTATCATCAACAAGAGTCCAATCAAGTGTGGGCAAGATGTATGGTCACAGGATGCAGTGTAGTACAATCAGAGTGTGGCCAAGATGAGCCACCCGCAGGAAATATCAAACAACCAGAAGGCTTACTGGGTGGCAGCGGTACAACAATGCGATTAAAGTACACATGCTACAAATGCCAGTTCTCATTCTTGCTCGAGTACAATGGTCAGAACTACACATCGAACGAAGTGGATGAGAATGAGGAGTTGGCCAGCGATACCAGACAAGGCGCACAACGACGTTGTGATGCAACCTCCAGCATCACTTGTTATCATCACAAGAACAAACCAAGTGATATCACCATCAACAAGTTCAAACATCTATTTACTGGACTGATGATGCTCATTATATTCTCAATCACATCATTCATTGGTATCATTATCCTTATACTTATCGTTGCGTCTAGGTGGCGATGATCCCTTGGACCAATCAATCAAATATATATAATATATAAACATATAAGAATGCGCACTTTGTAACATACATCACTGGAATATTGATCATCCTGGAACTATTCCTTACTCCCAACCCCACATATATTAATTTGAATGTTTGATTAAAACTTATTATTATATTTATTTATTAATTATATATATGTATTGGATTATGAATCAGCCAAAACAGCCTTTGAGATTGATTGGTAGTACTCTATGTTCTTGATGATGGTCTGAGTGTTGATCTCACATGGTGGGATGCCAAGAGCGGCAAGGTGTGCCATGGTACGGTTGCAGTCGCCAAAGCCAATGTGGAAGAGTGGGAATGAGGTGGCAGTGCGGAAGAATCCACGGATCTTCTTGCAAGGTGTGCTGCCAGAGGTCATCAGCTTCTCCTTCCATTGGAGGAAGTCGGCGTCCACAGTGAGTGGGTACTGCTCGTTGATAATGTTACAGATGTCGGTCAGGTTCTTCATCTGACGCTTCTCATCCTGGTTGATGAGATGGTAGACGGTTGGAGTGCGGCTGGTGTTGTTGGCGGTCCAGTAGGCATCATGCAGGGTGAGGCCGACAAAGGCGCGTGACACCCAGTCGATTGGTGATGTGTTGATGTTGCCCTCGCCCAGCTGCTGGTTGAAGGTTGGGTAGCTCTTGAGCTCAAAGATTGACTTGACCACGAGTCCGAGGATGTCGTTCTCATTGTCGATACCAGTGCGGGAGTCTCCAAAGATTGGTCCAACACGGACGATCATGGCTGGGATGCCACGGGCGGCGGCCTCCCTGATCAAGTACTCTGTGATGACCTTGGACTGGATGTAACCGTTCATGTCGTTGATGTGGTTGAGCGATGGGTAGACATCCTCAGTGATGGCCTCGTTACGTGAGTCGTTGAAGAAGACAGAGATGGATGAGACGTGGACGATGCGCTTGAGTGTGTGGCCGGCGGTGGCAAGACGGATGATGTCCTTGGTACCGTTGATGTTTGTGAGACGGATCTCATCGTAGAACTCGATGAAGTTGACGTTGGCACCATTGCTGATGATCACATCGACATTGTTGGCCAACTGCTCAAACTCGGCGGCGGACAGGCCAAAGAGTGGCTTGGACAGGTCACCGAGGACGAGGACGACACGCTGCTCAAACACGGCTGGGTCAAAGCTAAGCTTGTACTGGTTGAGCTTGTTGAAGAGGGTCTGCTTGGCCTCCTCAATGGAGTTCTTGGCACGAACCAGACAGTAGATGGTCTTGACGTTGGCCTGGGTCAGGTAGTCTGAGAGCAAGTAGATACCGAGGTATCCAGTGACACCGGTCAAGAAGACGTTAACAGCAGCGCCCTGGATTATTGGGACGACTGGCTTGAGGGTGGCAGCTGGGGTGATGTCAGCGTCGAGAACACTCTCTTGCTTCCAGAACTCAAGTGGCTTGGTGCCTGGCTTGGAGGTAGAGGTGGCGACCTCCTTGTTGGCTGTGCCAGTGGCAGTGGTGGCAGTTGCGGCGGCGGCAGTTGGGGTCTTGGCAGTGATCTTCTGGATGATTGAGTTGATCGAGTTGGAAGAGAGCTGGAGATGAGTGAACAGGTTCTTCTGGAACTCCTGGTCGATCCAGTTCTTCAACTGCACGGTGAGCAGCGAGTCAATACCATAGTCCTTGAGACGGGTGTCGTAGTTAAGCTTGGATGGGTGGATGGACAGAAGCTCAGAGATCTGGGCGACGACGCGATCAGAGATGCTGTTGCCACCGGTCGAGGAGCTGGCCGATGCCTGCTTCCTCTCGAGGTCAGAGTCCTCGGCAAGATGCTCCATCTTGATCTTGATCTGTGGGCAGTACTCAAACAATGACTTGTAGCTGTAGTTGCTCAGCATGACCTGAGTCTCAGCCTTCTCGCCGTTGAAGATACCGTTGAGACCACCAAGAATCTTGGACAGGGACACGAGGTTGATGCCGCGGCTCTGGAGGAACTGGGACACGGACTTGTCCTTGGCGACCTCTCCACCAGCGTCGAGTGCACCCCAGTTGACTGCGGTGGCGGCAAGACCCTGTGAGCGTCTGAAGTGGGCCAGACCGTCGAGGACAAAGTTGGCCGAGGTGTAGGAGGCCTGGTTGGTCGATCCGAGGACAGACACAATCGAGGAGAACAGGACAAAGTGGTTGTAGGTCCAGCCGAGCTGCAGGCCAAGCTGGTGGAGGTTGATGGCACCAACAGCCTTGGGGTCGTGGGTTGCGGTGATAGTACGCTGGGTGATGTTGTCCACCTCACAGTAGTCGTAGATCGTTGCAAAGTGGATCATGGACTTGACTGGGCCGAGAGTGGGCTCAGCCTGGTAGAGGGCTGACACGGTCTCCTTGAGGTTGTCATAGTTGGAGACGTCAACAGAGCGGTAGTGGATCCTGACGTGGCTGCCAGCAGCCTTGGTCTGGTTGATGAGCAGCTGGAGCTCCCACTTGAGGGCTGAACGCGAGAGAACGACTATGTCCTTGAGGGTGGATGGTGCGTGCTCGAGGATCCAGCGAAGGATGAACACGGCAATACCAGTCTGACCGGTGACCAGCAGGGTCGAGTCAAGTCCGTTGAGAGCGTAGTTTGGCTTGACGATGCTGACAGCCTTCTTCTCGGCGATCTCCTGGAGCATTGGGGTGAGGACGTCCTTCTCAAAGTCGGCAAAGTCCACAACGATCTTTCCAATGTGCTTACGCTCGTTAATGTACTCGATGGCCTTCTTGGTGTCGCGCACTGGGAAGGTCTCGACGGGGATTGGGCTGAGCTCGCCGGCGTCGATGGCGGCAAACACCTCGCGCAGGATACCATTGACAATCTTTGGACTGTAGGCGATGGCACGCTCGAGATCGATGGTCTGGTAGCCGACGTGGTACTTGAACACCTCAATGTCGATGTTGTCATTGTCCATCATCTGGGTGACCGAGAGATCCATGATGCGACCGATCTGGGAGAGGGCGTCAAAGTTGGGCTTGAGGAAGTCACCAGACAGGGTGTTGAGGATCATGTCGACACCCTCCTTGGTCTGCTCAAACTGACGGATCTGGTCGGGGAAGCCGCCAGCGACAGAGTTGTGGGCAGTGCTGATGATGCTGGTGATCAGCGAGCCGTAGGTGTCCTCGAGGAACTGGCGCTTGTCCTTGGAGCCTCCGAATGTGGCGAACACTGGTCCAGTGTGCTTCTTCCACTTGAGGAGGTTGAGTGCGGCAAGACCAACACCTCCGGTCGATGAGTGCACCAGGATGGAGTCCTTGCCGGGCATGAAGCGACCAACGTGGAAGATGGCGTAGTAGGCGGTGGCGTAGACGACTGGGATCGAGGCAGCCTGAGCGAACGAGATGCTCTTGGGCTTGATGACCACGCGGTCCTGGTGAGTGAGCACGTGCGAGGAGAATGAGTGGCTGGCAAAACCAACGACCTCATCGCCGACATTGAATCGGCTGACGGCACTGCCAACGCGGGAGATGATACCAGCGCACTCGAGACCGAAGGGTGGGTTGTAGATGTCACCCTTGCTGAAGATCTCCTGGGGCAACAGACCACGGTAGAACAGGTTGTCCTTGTAGTTGATACCGGTGGCGCGAACCTGAATCTCGACCTGCTCTGGAGCGAGAGTGTCGCGTGGGTGGAACACGTAGGACAGGTTGGAGTTGAGCTTGCACACCAACTTGGCGGAGTCATTCTCGTAGGACGATGGTGAGTCGAGTGCGGCTGGCTCGCGCAGGTATCTCTGGACGAGGACCTGGTTGTCGCGGATCAAGAACTCCTTGTCACCGAGCTGGGCGGTGTTGGTGAGCTTGGCCAAGAAGGCGAGCTTGGTGGCGGCGGCACCAGTGGTGTCAATGTCGATGGCAACGGTGTTGAGCACAGTCTGGAACTCGAGGAAGTAACGGAAGATACCGACTAGTGATGTGTTGAGGTAGTTGACAGACTCGCGCTGGGCGTTGGCAGTCAGGAGAACGATCTTGGCGTTGGTAGCCTGGTTCTTGAGCAGCAACTGGTTGAGCTTGACAAACTCCATTGTGCGCACCTGGTAGTTGGAGGTGGTGAGGGCGTCAAGACCGGCGAGGAAGTACACGTAGGTGTTGCTTCCGTCGCAGACAAAGTCGACAAACTTCTGCTGCTGGCTGGCGGCGGCCTCGTCGAGGAGGCTCGCCGACTGGAAGATCTCGATCTTGTTGGCATTGAGCAGGCCTTGCTGGATGAAGTACTCCTCATGAGCGTTACCAGAGACGACAAAGGCGATCTTGTCGATGGCAGAGACAGTTGGGAGAGCCTCAATCAATGGCTTCTGGGCGACGACAACGACAGCCTGAGTGAGGGCGCTGGAGGCGACGGTGGTGGCGTGGGTAAGACCAGCCTGCTGGACGAGCTGGGTGAGGTCAGCAGCAGTGAAGTTGTTCTCGAAGGCAACGGTAGTCTGGGCATCAAAGACGATCGATGACTGTGGAGCCTCGCGGAGGACAAGGCGACCTCCTGGTGCCAAGACACTGGTGAGGTTAGCAACGATCTGAGAAGCTGGCACAGAGGATGCGGCCAGGGCAAAGTTGGTGATGATGATATCGTAGCTGGAGACCAAAAGTCCTTGCTCGACCAAGCACTTCTCAAGCGAGAGGGTAGTGCGGAATCTAAGCAACAGAGTGTCGCTGGCGTACTTGCTGAGGTCAACCTTCAGAGTCTCCTTCTTCTCGGCAGTGCACACAATGGTGTACTCGACAATGGTGGAGTTGTTCAACTTGCTGAGCACCTCAAGAGTGTGGACAGTCTGCTGGATATCGCCATTGAATAAGTCGACCATTCTCCATGGGCGGACGGTTGCCTTGGCTGGGTGAGCAAAGGTCGAGACGCAAGTTGGTGTGACGTAGTCAGAGGCGGAGGCAACATCAACAGCTGTGACTGCTGGGGCAACGGTGAAGGACTCCTTTGGTCCCCAGACAGAGGTGTACAGCTCCTTGGATGGGTGCTTGACGACAGTGGTTCTCTTGACCTTGATCAAGGAGTTGGAGACGATCTTGCCAAAGGTGGCCAAGACTGATCCATCCTCAGCGTAGATGGCAACGGAACCCTGCGATGTGTTACCGGCCTCCTTGATGACCTTGGAGAACAGGTAGACCTTCTCTGGGCGGGTGACTGGCAGGTTGGAGGAGAACACCTTGAAGTGCTCCAAACGCTCGAACACAATCTCTTGTGGGCCGTCCATGAGGGCCAACAGGGCGTGCAGGGCACAGTCCAAGATGGAAGCGTTGAAGAAGCTGCCATTGTCAAAGGCAGAGACGGTTGGAGTCATCTCGAGGGTGGCAAACGAGCAGCCAACACCAAAGGAGAAGGACTGGATGCGCTGGAAGGTTGGGCCGTATGGTAGACCGAGGGTCTGCAGCTTGGTGTAGACCTCGTTCTTGGAGAGAGTGGCCAAGTTGCACTGGGCGCGCAGGGCTGCGATGTCGACCTTGGGTATCTGGTCGGCTGGCAATGGAGTGTAGGTGGAGACACGACCGTGAGCAGACTTGACCCACTTGTCGGTGTTGTGGTTCTCCTTGAAGTTGAACTCAACCTTGTACTCGTTCTTGGAGTTGGCGATCACGTTGGACTGCAGGTGGTGCTGCACGCCATCAGTCAAGAAGAAGGGAATGTTGAACTCGAGGTTGTGGATGTCAAAGTCCTGGCCCTTGAAGATGTTGCAGATGTTGTCAATGTAGCCGGAGCCTGGGAACAGGTACTTGCCCTTGATCTTGTGGCCCTTGAGGTAGTTGAAGGCGGCGAGCTTGACGTCGATCACAGTCTGGTAGAGCTGACCACCAGTGTTCTGGCGATGGCCGAGGATGTTAGTGGCGGGTCCCTCCAATCTGATCTTCTGGCTGACCAATGGCTCGAACCAGTACTCCTCAGTGTCCCACTGGTAGCGTGGCAGGATGTGAGTGAGCTCCTTCCAGGCGAGGTTGGTGTTGGAGTCGATCAATTGCGAGGCAAAGTTGATGTTGATGCCGTGGTTGTAGATGGCAGCCAAGGTCGACTGCATGGCCTCAGTGTCGTGCTTCTTCTTGTGCAGTGGTGACAGGACCAATGGGGTGAAGGTGATCTCGTCGGATGGGGCTGGAGTCAACTTCTTGATGTAGAAGGCAAGAGTTGGATGTGGGGCAATCTCGAGGAAGACTGGCGAGGTTCCCATCTTCTGCTCACCAATGTACGAGAAGATGTTGGCGATGGCCTTGGTGAACTCGACTGGCTGGCGAAGGTTGTCGTAAATGTACTGGACGTTGTACTCCTCCTTGTTGCGCAACAATCCACCGTGGATGGTGGAGAAGAATGGAAGCAATGGGCCTGATGAGTACTCGAGGTCCTTGAGGGGCGAGTCGAACACCTGCTGCTTGATCTTCTCCTGGTGCGACGAATGGAACGAGCATGGGGTAGTGAGGAAGGCGGTGAAGATACCGGCCTCCTTCATCTTGTCGGCGGCAGCCTTGAGAGTTGGCTCATCACCAGTGATGACGATCGAGTCGGATGAGTTGTAACAGGCGATCTCGAGTGTTGGGTAGGCGCTGGCGTAGTCCCTGATGTACTGATCGCCGCCAATACCAATGGACAGCATTCTACCGCTTCCAATGGTCAAGTTCTGCAGAGTGCTGCGGTGGTACACGATCTTGGCAGCAGTCTCAAGGCTGAGGATGTTGGCGCAGAGTGCAGCAGTGACCTCACCAAAGCTATAGTATGGTAAAAAGAAGAAGAGTATGATTGAGTGTTAATGTTATGTTGTCGAGTTGATAGATTGCATGATGAACACATACCTGTGACCAACGACGATGGTTGGCTTGATGTTCCAGTGCTCGTAGAGAGCAACCAGACCAACTTGGATCAGGAAGACGGATGGCTGAGCAAGCTTGGGCTCGTGGATCTCTGGCGAGCTCTCTGAGGCCAAGTCGTTGAGTGACTGAAGGATGGAGTAACCAAAGTGCGAGGCCATCAGAGCGTCACAACGGTCGACGGCATTCTTGAAGACTGGCTCGGTCTCGTAGAGCACCTTGCCCATGCCCTTCCATTGTGGACCTTGACCACAGAAGACAAAGACGATTGGGGTGTTCTGAGCGTTGCCAAGAGCGGCAATGTTGGAGGACTGGGTCGAGTTGGTCGAGTAGGTGGTCTTCTGGGAGACAAAGTCCTCCCAGTCGCTGGCGACGACCACCTTTCTGATGGCGTACAAGTGTGATCTGGCTTGGATCTGGTGACGGGCAAAGTCCTCAAACTTAATTGTTGACTTGTATTGCTCGACGTTCTCGGCAACAGTGCTTATGTACTTGTCCAAGGACACCTTGGAGTTGGCAGACACTGGCACCAAGTACTCCTTCTTTGGAGCTGCAGCAATCTGGTTGTTAACCTATTATTGATTAATTGAATGAATGATTGAGTGTTAGAGACTGTGCAACACGTGAGCAGTTGATTGAGCCACATGATTGGATACATACTAAGTTGGACTTAACCTCCTCACAAATAATGTGACAGTTGGAACCAGACAAACCAAAGCTATTTACACCCATGCGAACAACCTTGTCCTCTGGGAAGTCCTCTTGGTCGGTGACGACCTTGACGTGCCACTCGTCCAACTTGATCTTGGGGTTGACGCGCTCAAAGTGAATGTTTGGCACGAGCTGGCGGTGCTTCAACATCAGAGCAACCTTGATAAGCGATGCGATACCGGCGGCTGACTCCAAATGACCCATGTTGGACTTGACGGAACCGATTCGGAGTGGGTTCTCGTTGGTGTGGTTGTCGGCAAAGACCAAGGACAGAGCCTCGACCTCAATGGGGTCACCGACTGGGGTACCAGTGCCATGGGACTCGATGTAGTAGATGTCCTCTGGCTTGAGCTGTGCGCGGTTGAGTGCCAGATCGATGTTCTCGGCCTGGGCGTGCATGGATGGTGCAGTGATTGTGTTCTTCTTGTTGTAGCCATCGACGTTTGAGCTGCCTCCCTTGATGACACAGTAGATGCGGTCGCCATCGCGGACGGCGGCGCTGTGACGCTTGAGAATACAGAGACCGGCACCCTCAGCACGGACGAAACCGTCGGCAGAGGCGTCGAAACTGCGGCACTTGCCCTTGTGTGACAACATTCCAAAGTTGGTGAAGGCAATCGAGATTGTTGGGTCGTAGAGTGCGTTGACACCTCCAACGACGGCCATCTCACAGTCGCCAGACTGGATGGCTTGCACTCCCAGGTAGACGGCGTTGAGTGATGATGAGCAAGCAGTGTCGAGGGTCATTGATGGGCCACGGAAGTCAAAGGCAAAGGACAGACGATTGGAGATGAACGAGTTACCGTTTCCAGTCAACAGGTATGGCGACATGTCTGTGATCTCTCTGAAGCCTTGCTTCTGGTAGTCGAGGTTCATCAAACCGATGAACACTCCAGTGTCAGAGCCACGCAACTTGGCTGGCTGTATTTGGGCGTCCTCCAGGGCCTCCCAGAGGATGGTCATAAGGACACGCTGCTGTGGGTCCAGATGGATGGCCTCCTTTGGCAGCACACCAAAGAACAGAGGATCGAAGCGCTTCCATTCCTCTTCGCTGATGTAGCCACCAAACTCGTTGGAGATGAAGTCCTGGTCGTGGAAGGACTGTGACCATCTCGTGTCGGCCGTCTTGGAGATACCGTCGAAACGGTTGACCATGTCGCTCCAGAACTCGTTTGGATTGGTGGACCCTCCTGGGAATCTCAAACCAATACCAATAACGGCAATATCTTGATCTGATGGAGTTTCAGGTGCAGTTGATGACATTGTTTAGAATGATTGATTGTTGTATATATTATTATGTGTATATATTATTATTAACTGATTGTTAATGTTGTTGTATATATAATAATTATAAATAATATTATTATTATTATTATAAGGTCAGGTGGTTGTTGGTACGTAAGAAAGTACGAAGGTAATTAAACTATGTGAGATGGGATGGGATGGTATCAAAGATGTTAGATATTAGACGAATGGGTTCCAAGCAAGGTGGGCCAACCCCCTGGGATCTTGAACATCATCATTGATCATGATATTTACCTCGATAATTATCCAGGATAATATTTGAAGTTTTGGAGGTTGGAAAAAGGAGGAAGAACTACGACCGAGTGTATATTGGACTTGGTTGTTGTTGTTGATACTGGCTATTATGTATAAATAAATAGCAAGTATGATTGATTGGAGTTGATTGTTGAGTGTTGAAAAAACCAAGTTGGCTTGTTGATTGATTGATTGATCACTCTTGGTTATTATTTTAGAAATAAATAATTATAATAATTTCTAATTGAATAAGTGTTGTAATTAATGTATACAATTACTTTGTTGGATTGGAGTAATTGAATGCTTATAAGCTTGGAAGTATATAGGCATCCAATCAATCGATGAAGTTATACAACAGTGGTCCTGGATACACATACATCATCGTGCAAAATATCCTTGCAAAATACTTTAAAAATGGGAATGGATGTGATGGAGGTTCCCAAACGACTCGTGTGTGTGTTTTGGGGTACACTCGAGCCCATCACACACGGGCGCTGGACCTATGCGGGGAGGCGTGGGCTTTGCTAGAGATGGTAGGTGTCTTCCGTGAGTGTGTGTCTGTGGGAAGGGTACATGCCAAGGTGCATTTCCCAAAGCACAGTCCCAAGGTTGCAGCAACTCCCACCACCTTCAGTCGTGTGATGATGGGAATCCCAAACATCCATCCGCCGCCGCCGTCAACGTAATGGATTGGAAGTAAGTCTTGAGTTGTTGGCACAGGAGACTTGCTCTTCAGTGCCAGGCAGTGCAAAGAAGCTCCATCCTACTAAGTAACATTGAGACGACGTCAAAGAAAAGTGAGTCGACTTATGCTGTCTGGTTCCCTACTTTGTGGAGCGGGCACGGGGCACCTTCCATTACCGAGTGACTGATGGGACTCAAATAGTTGTTTGTTTGTAGGTTTGTTGATGATTGATTGTACAATCACCAGATGATCAGCAAGCAACTTTGTTGATGTTTCGTTCGCTTCAGTCGGAATAACGAGATTACACGAGGGTAGTCACACACCCAAGTCAACAATTGACCACCACGCGCCATTGGAGCGCTGAAGATGAATGTAAGCCTTGTATCCCATGCTGGGATTGGCATCACACTGATCCCACCATTGTTTGTTGTTCTTGTGAATGATTGATTGACAAATCTTATTCTACTACTCCTACTACCTTCCACATTCCTCTATACTTCCCCAATACTTGTGTTCTTCGATACCATCCGATAGATTATCGGACTTTTCATTCATACCTCCATTGTTATTACTTACCAACTAACCTATTGTATGAATGAGAGAGAGAGACACAGAGAACATATATTATTTGTAAACAAACTAGGATACAACAAAGAATGAATGAATGATAATGATGTGTGAATGTATGAATGGTGGAATGTTGAATGCTTGGAAACCAACAGAGTTCATTCATTTGGTGGGGTGACATCAATGTCCAACACTTCATTCATTCAATGATCACCTTATCAAGTAGTACACATATATATATTACTAATCAATCAATCAATGCCATATAGTGATTCACTCACTTTACTTTAATTGGTGAAGATCTTACCATCAGCACACTGCTTGAGCAACTCGGTGGTGACTCCAAGTATCTCACAGTACCACAGTCGACGACATACGGAATCACATTGCTCCATCCAGGTGGTGTGTGGTCCACTGCGAAGTTGGAAGTAGTAGTCGTCCAACAGGGTGTCATTGTGCAGGAAGCGTTGGGTCAGGTTGAACCAGGCCGCGTTGGACAGGTCAGGCATCTGGTATAGATCAATTGGTGTATACGCCAACTCCATGGTCAAGTTGCCCGAGATGTTGGCCTCGGTGATGTTCGTGCGGTACTGGTACCAGTTGGTGATCTCCATGGTGTCATAATTGAACTCGTACAGACGGATGGCTGGGTCGTGGCCAACGTAAGTGGTCATGCTTGGCGCGACGTAGTTGGTGCCGGTGGCCGTGCTGTGTGTGGCTGTGTCGGTGAACACGACCAACTGATCAAAGTGAGTATGACCGTAGAACTGGCCTACGATCACATCGCTGAAGCGCTCGACGATCGCCTCGTAGATGCGACACCAATGGTTGGTGGGCAGTGGGTAGAACGTGCAGGGGATGTGGCCCACGACCAACACCTTCTCGTTGTGTGCCTCAGCCTGCTCCAGCGTGTTGATGAACCAATCGGTTTGATTGTCGCGAATGTTCACGTTGGAGTGACGGAGCAAGTTGTAAAAGTTGAGGATATCAGCGTCGAACGTGAACAGGGAGACGACGCGCAGACCTGGCTGAAGCACCGAAGTGAAGTATCCAGCCTTCTTGACTGTGGCCACCTCCTCGGACGTGAGGAATTGTTGCCATGAGTCGGCCAGCGTATCCAGCAACCACTGCTGTTGTGGCAGCAGGAACTCATCCATTGGGTAGGACTCGTGATTGCCACACGATGGCATCACAATGGTGTTGGGGAAGTACTCGTGGATCAGATCGGACATCACTTGGATGGCGGTGATCTGAGTCTGCTCGTCCATCATCCAGACATCGTGGGGCGAGTTGTCGCCCGACCAGATGACCATGCTGATGGGCTTGGTCCTGTTGATCTCGACGATCTGGCTGAGGATCTGCTTGACCGTCCAGAGCGGAATGTCGCAGCTATGGTCACCCCAGAAGCCAGCCGTACCATTGCCAGTGCGGCAGCATTGTGGTTCGCCACAGTGTGGCTCGGAGCCCACGGTGTACAATGGGTCCATATGGATGTCTGCCAATTGCAGGATGTAGCTGGTACCAGAGAATCCAGTCTCTGATCTTGGTTGTGATGGTGCGGTCAAGACCTCTGGCTTCTTCTGGAGACGAGCCTTAACCTTGTCCAAGGCAGACTCTGCCACCTCACTAGACTTTACCATCTTGTTCACTGTCACCTCATTGGGGTCATGGCTACAGATTCCAAGCTTGTAGCAAATCTCTTTGTTTGATTGATTGATTGATTGATTGGTGAAGGAGAGGGAGTGGGAGAGGAAGAATGAGATGGAGACAGAGGTAAGCCAGACATGTTGATTATGTGTTGAAGCTATGGAGTCGGTGATATCAAACCTGATGGAGCAAGTTCGTCCTCGACGATAACATAGTAAACGATTGGTGCGTAAGCCTTCATAGTTCCAGAACACTAATTGATCGAGGGTCGTCGAAGGGCATATGGTCAATCAATCTGTCATTCAATCAATCAATGAGTTGAACTACTTACAACTTCTGGCTTCTCGAGGTGTAGACCAATGCAGACCTCAGTGGAACCTCTGATGACTTCCTCGTTTGAAGCATTTCTCTTCAAGGCATGACACAAAGTGTTAGTCGAACATGGACATCTTTAATCAATCAATCGATCAATCAAACATTGACATACCAATAGGAATCCATCGAATAAGGCAGCACCCATTAGACATAGATCACAACTGACCTCGAATCCCTTGGACACTATGTTATGGTCCTCGGCAGCGGAGTGTGCATAGGTGGACACCACCAGCATCATCGCCAGTAGTAGTAAAAGTCTAAACATCTTATTCATAGATAGTAATACTAATAAAGTAGTAGTAACTGAAGACTGATATGAAGTGATGTGACGCTGATCGTTGGTTGTTGCATAGGGTTGTAGTGAATGAGTGAGGTGGGCTACACATTAGGACCAACAGGTTAGATTGAATAGTTCCATCGAGTTAGTTGGTGAGAGTCCAAGTTAGTTCTTTTTTATTCTAAACGATCACCTGAGTTGTTGTTTCGCCAAAGGTCGCACACATAGTCTATCAATATCTATCTGGTTGCGTGTCATTTCGCTAACCGGGGACCGAATGCCATCATCAAACAGTGTAGTGGGGGTCTTGGGCTTGATTGGACCAAGGTCTTTGACCTGATCAACAATATCTGTGCGGGGGTAGGGTTCCATTTCGGAACTTGCACTCGGGTTGATCAGTAATCAATTTGGAAGTTCAAGGTCTGAGACTAAGTTGGATGTGGTAAGACACTGTACTGCTAGAGCAGTGTTGTTGTTTATTTGTTATGATGATCCCGTTCAGTCACTATTAGTGAATCAATCGGTCAATCAATTATAAACAGTGATGGCGCGTCATCAAAGGATGACGCAAGGTGAATGATGGATTTGCTGCACAGGTCCATGCATGGCGTATGAGTTGACACTTTGATTGAGTATCATCCATTCCAAGTAATTAATGACCTATACCTGTTGTCTAATCTAATTATATATATATATAAGGTCTATCTCTCTTCATGATTCTTTTGATGATATTGATGTAGTTGTAGTTGTGGTCGTGGATGTTGTTGATAGGTTGTGATGATGTTCATCGAGCTTGCAACTTAGAAAGTCTGATGGATCGCTGATGGGATTGATTGGCTGCGAGGAGAAGGATGGTGGAGTCTTAACGGTGAGCACCTCGAATGACAAGGGCAGTATGTGGGGAGAGCTGACTGGTGGTGAGGTGATTGGGGATGAGACGTTGGAGAGTGAGAGTGAAGGTGAGGAGGGTGCCGACAGACATGTGTTGTCTTCGACATTGGCAAAGGGCACGGGCGACGACGACGAGCTGTTTGTCTCGGACTCGCCTTTCAGGCCCTCTTTGCTGGCCCAGTTCATGAGGCTCAGGACAAAGCCAAAGTTGGGTCTGCTGATGGGTCGGATGTCGCGAATGTATGATGTGGCCAGTTGCAGTGTCAGACGATCATTGTGCATCAGCCAAAGGATACACAGGCATGGACTGCGACTGACGCCCATCTGGCAGTGCACAAACACCTTGCCCTGTCTGCTGCGAGCCTCCTCGATAAAGGCAATGACGGACGAGAACACGGCGCCAATGTCTTCGCTAGACTCGTCGCGCAACGGGAACTTCTTGTAAACGAATGGGTGGTCGGGATGGTCTTCAAAGTAGTTCTCGCACTCGACCGACGCGTTGATAATATGAGTGATGCCGAATGATTGCAGTGTCTGCAGCTCAGAGGCGATGCGCTGGCTGCCCATATACAAGTAGTCCGTGACCTTTGTGCAAACGTTATTATACTGCTTGACCGAGTCGCCTTCGCAGTTCATCCATGAGCTCTGTTCGAAACGATTCGCGACCATGTCCGACCTTGACGTATGTGGGGAGTGGCTATTGTGCTTTAATTTCTTGATGTGGTAGCCACTTGGACTGATGTTGGTTGTTGTACTATTATTATTATTGTTGCTAATGTTGATGTTGATATTATTATTTACAAGATTGTTTGAGTATGATGACGAGGATGGCGTGAGGCATGTTGAAGGTGATGAAAGAAGTGATGGGGATGGTGATGATGAACTTGATGAACTGCCACTGCTACTGCTACCACTACTACTGCTTCCACTACTATTGTTTAAGTTATTACTACTACTAAAGATATTTCTATGATTAATTATATTGTTATTATTATTACTTCTATTATTATTATTATTATGATGGTATGATGAATCTGAACCGAAACTGTTTACTAATTGTATCTTTATGTCTTGATTGAATCTTGGTATTGTCTGTGCACCATCAATGTCAACCGAGAGCTTCTTCCTCTTTCGTATTAATGAACTCTCGGTCGATGTATGTTGTTCATCCATCACTTTGATCTTTATATTCTCTGACATGTCATTGCTCATGTTCTCAAGTTTGAGCATATCTATATTATATATTATAATCTTTTATCTGATTGATTGATTAATTGATTGAATGATTGAATGAGATATATATATCTACAACAGCAATGAGAATGAGAATGAATGGATGAATGAAAAAAAGACAGGACAGAGATCAACAACGAGAGTGGTGTATCCTTATAAAGTGTTCATCACGTGCGTTGTTGTATCTATCTATATCTATCTTGTTGTTGTGGGTGTGTGTGAATTGGAAAATGGATGGGATAGTGAGAGCAATAATAGAGAGAATCAATGTGAGTGCACACAAACACAATACCTAATAATGCTGCCACTACACTCTCTTCGTGGTGTGTGAGTCTCAAAGCGCCTCACCCGAAAAAACAGACCAGAAGAAAAAATAATACTCGAGTATCAAACAACCCCTCTATACGCTATTAATAACTTTTGGTGAGCCCACCCCCCACGGGCCCATCCACCCTTCTCCCCCCCACAACCCCCTAAAATCATTGTCATTTATCGACCTCTCCTTCTATCGATCAATGAGCGTTGACCAATCATTGCCTCCCCCTTGAAATGGCAATGACAATGACAATTACGAATGTGTGTGTTGCATTGACACTAACCCGAGGTTATGAAAGATGGAACCCACCTCCCCTCACCTTCATTTAGTGAGTTGAAAGCCAACCAACTGTTGATTGAATTGAATTGTATGTATGAGTGATGAGTAACTGTAAGAGTTCAATAAAAGATGATCTTAATTATATCACTACTCACACACATCACCTGTTTCTTTGAGAACTGACACTCAGACCTATCCCTTCATGGACTCATAGTGAAGTGTATAAATAACACCAACTGAGCAGTACCCTAAATTATTATTTATCAGATCCTAACGTTTAGTCCCTGACGGGAATAGACACACCACCCTCAATGATGTGGAAGAAGTGGATGCTAATAAAGGATCACATCACTATTCTCATTGATCATCAATCAATGGATTGATTGATGGATGTTATTATTAACATCATGTTCACACAACTCATATATTTAACCTGTTACTGAACAATACATCCAAGACATAAATCATTAAATCGGGATGTTTGAACAACAACGACGACCTAAAGTCATTCATTGCTAATTGTACATACATCATCATCATCATGATCATCATCACGGTCAAATTCATCGTCATCAATCATTCAATCAATCAACAATTATTCATTCAATCTGTTAATTCAATAATAGAGAGTGTTACTTCCTCAGATCCAAATGAGGACACAACACAGTTCTACTTTGGGAGACTCTTATGGGAGACTATTAATGACCATACTGCCGGGATTTAGTTCAATGAACATTATCTCCTATCAATGGATTTTGTTGCCCCAGGAGCAGATTTGTCATTACCTCTGTTCTTGGCAGTATGGTACCTAAAATGAAATACACTAGTATTAAGACTTTGTCTTGAGATGGAAGATAATAGAATGAATATACATCAAGGTTGAAATTGATGAGCGGTTACTGTCAAAGCTTGACATTCTGGTCAAAATATGTATGATGACCAAACTTCATATACATTGTCAAGTTGAGCAATATAGACTGAAGGTAAACTATAAAAATATAGTTTACAATTGTTACCATTTATTAACTGTTATATAATACTAAATAATAAAACTATATTGATGATTAATCATTTCCCAATTGTATGAGATATTGATTGGAAAAGTGATACGACTTGTTGTAAAAATCAAACTTTGTGATTGATCCAACTTGTATTCTGTTTCTCTCACACATACAATACGTGTATTAACAACAACCCACCTAACTCAACTCACTCTTACAAACATGAGCACATAACATAAACACACAACATAAACACACAACATAAACATAAACACACTTATAACTTACCAAGGCTTTACATGTATATGTATCAGTTGACAGACAACAGACTCACACCCAATTGTGTTACGCAATAGAGTTGTTCCATTTAATTCATTCAATTAGGACTATATAGCGAGCGAGACTGAACTGAAAGAGATATATTTATATATATATAATATTACATTATTATACACACGTTTGACATTGTGTGACACATTAGATATATAGTGACAAAGAGAGAGAGATAGAGATATATTATAACACAGAGATATATCTCTTATAATACTATTTATATTTATTTATATATATATATATACATTTAATACAGGATGACACTTAAACAACAACAAATATGTTGTGGAGGTGGCAGTAGTCGAAGTAAACATCATCATCAGATACTGGCACCAACAATAACAACAACAACAACATGTATATTGCTCATTCTTTTATTGTTCTGTAACATTACATACTCAAAGGTAAGCGATATTGATTAATCAATCAATCAATCATACATATTTGAGCTCAACTAATATAGTATGATCGATATATATAGCAGGAGGATTCAACTTTGAAGACACAGTCACAGACAGCAGCTTCAACCTCAGATTATAGCTTATCATCATCTTCATTGACATCGAGTGGAAGCACAGCAGCGGATAATATTGATGCACATCTACGCAACTTGACGAATGTGGACAACACTCACTTTGCATTCCCAAGAAATATCACTAGACTCTTCAAAGGAGACTGGAACATTAGCAGTGCGCTGCCTTCCAGCCAGGTGTTCTCATTCGACAGACAGTCGGGCCAGACCATATTCTCACTGCTCAACATCCATCGTTATCCATCACTCACATTCGATAGTGTCGAGGGTGAGATGATCATTCGCGACGGTGTCTACTCATCGGACAACTCAAAGAAATACCTCATGGTTGGAATATATGAATTCGAACTTGGTCTAGCAACATTGGTCGCATTCCCTCATCAATAGTATGCAATCAATCATTCATCCATTCATCCGCTCGATTGATGATCAAGCTGACTCACTCATACCTTCACCACACAATCATTACAGCGGGATATTCACAGCACCAATGCAACTCAATATTACAAATGCGACGACAGCTGACAATGCCAAGGCACAGATGGGACAGTGGATGCTCAACTCAACGTCGACAGATGAATGTTTACTTCAGGTTACATACCAGTTCGAATCAAACAATACCAACTCCAACGTCAATCAAAATGAGGACATGGAAGAAGGTAACGTACACACACACAAGTACGCATGTACCAAGCCATCCATTCCTAACATAATCAATTACAGAGGATGAGCATCTATTCAAAGTTAATGGACAGTACACTAGCAATCTTTGTAAGATTGATTTGACCATCGATGCATCATCAATCATAATGAGCATATACCGTGCCAAATGGGTCAACTATGTGATCATGGTATCACTATGTTCATTCGTACAGATATTCGTATTGATCAAACAGATGGACAACTCTGGTACACAGGCTGGCGCTGCCAAGGTATCACTATACACCGTCGGCATGCAAGCCATCATGGATGCATATCTCTTCCTACTTCACTTGACAGGTGGAGTTGTCTTTGAATCACTCTTCAATGCATTCGCCACAGCAGCCTTCTTCCAATTCATCACTTTCTCATTGTTCGAGATGCGATATCTATTGATCATACTCAAGGCCAACATACCACAGACTGCTGCCGAGGGCTGGGGTATGTTATTGTTATATCATTCCGAACATCATACATCATCTAACCATACTCAATCAATCAATCATGACATATAGATGCACTTCGCAGAGAGTTCTCATTGTTCTATTTAAAGTTCTGTATGTATTAGATTACCGCCAGTGTATTCAATCATTCATGCAGTTGACTAACGCACTACTATCAATCTACATCAATCCATCCAGACACAATAATGATATTGATTATAATGGTTATATACTATGTCAGCTCACTATTCCAGGTGATACTATTCATACTCTTCTCCTATTGGGTACCACAGATATGGTCCAATGTGTACAGATCAACACGAAGACCTTTCATTTGGTCTTATGTACTTGGAATGTCAATCACCAGATTATCATTGCCACTGTGTAAGTGCACCTTGTTACCATCATTTAATGGACATCAAACTAATCAATCCAATCTACAACAACAACAACAACATAATAGACTTCTATGGATGTCCAAACAACTTCTTCTCCATCAAACCAAACTTTGCCTACTGTGCTATTATGGTGATGTATGTATAAACATGATATCTAAGGAACAAGTCCGTGAACAATACTAACTCATTATGATTATTATTATTATAGATGGACATGTATCCAAGTGTTGACTCTATGGCTACAGGACAAATACGGACCACAATTCTTTGTTCCAAAGAGAGTATGTATCCAATCAATCAATCAATTATTCATTCAATCAATCCATGTACACCTCTAACATAACAATCATATACACTACTAATATACAATCACATTAGTTCTTGCCACCAAAGTATCAGTATACAAGACCAATAAGCAACTCTATAAGGAACAGAGAGGAGGGACAAGGATGTGTTATATGCATCAACGATATAGAGGAGAATGACTCTGAGTATATGATAACACCATGCGACCATCTATTCCATGAGCGATGTCTACTACGCTGGATGGACTTTAAGATGGAGTGTCCAACATGCCGCAGGCCAATACCTGCTCCATAAAGTAGTTTATATATACATTACATTAGTTATATTTCTATTTATTGTATACGGTGGTTCATTCACGAATCTATTCATCCTAATATGGTTATTGGACAATCAATATCCATTTAAATGGTTGTTTGTTATATATTTTGAAGATCATCAATGTGTACACAGTTATTAATTACCAAGAATAAATAGTAGAACAATTGTATATGTTGTTATAACTATGGAGCCGATGGATGGGTAAGTACCATATTATATATGATTGAATAATATATTAATATTTAATTTCTTTATTTATTTATTTATTTAGATTTAATATAATATTATTTCTTGTTGCTAAAATGCAACAAAAGAAAGTAACTAATATTAAACTAAGTAATACCCAAATGAAACTTGTTGATGATGCAATCGAAGGAGATATGTTCTCATTTGTAATTAGGTCTGTTGATTGGATGACAGAACGAACTCACACTTCTCAATCTACTACAACAATGACAATGTTGGCCGGGCCTATCAAGATGTTTATGAAGCCTCGAGGTGATATGAGTACCTACCTTTGCCCTACAACTTTGAAGGACAAAGAGTTACTTGTGTTCAGGTATAAGTTATATACCTCCAATATGGCCATTGAGATAGCCAAGACCCGAAAGGTAATATGGCCACATAGAGACTATGAACTAGGCAGACCGTTACAAACTAGGAAGAGGATGGTCGAAGTTTACACCGAGAGGCTTCGATCTCAAGAGGAGACTAAGAGAATCAAGCTTTCTCAAGAAGAGGAACAGTTCAAGGACTCTTTCAAGGACACCAAAGAGGACTTAGAGGACCTATCTTCATTGGAGCCCTTCAACTCTGACGATGATGAAGAAGACGATGATCAAACCGTAGAGGATACTAATGTGAGGAAGGACATTATGGACTCCAACGATATCATCTCCACTCCCCCCCTAACTCGAGTACCACCTTGTGCCACATCAAATTCTACCAATCAGAAGAAAGATATAATTCCAGGGTCAGCAGATTGCCCCATTGATGTTGACACTTTGGTAGTCCCAAAGGATTTCACCAGCTTCGATTTCCCGATCGAGACAACCATCAAGGAAGAGAATAATAACTCCAATATCAAGAAAGAGAATGATAACTCTGATATCAAGAAAGGCAATGATAACAACAACAACAACAACAACAACAATATCAGCCCTCAACCATATTCTTCACCACTATCTCAAGCAATATTATCCAATTTGGATGCGTATATCTCCCAGATGATCTCCTCACAAATCCAACAACATAGTAGTCAAGAATCAAACAATCATGTTGTACACTATAAATGTACAATTGAAAGAAAACAGTAGTATAAGTTACTGCTGGTCAACTTGAGCTGACACGACGACAACCCGATTCGAATTTCGATCATTCCTCACCACCCACACCCTTTCATCAAACAAAGTAATCATTCAATAAATCAATCAATCATACATTCGCAATATATTCATATACAGATAACATTAATACTTTATTCTTACAAGATACATAGATGGGCGGTATAAAAGCAGTTATATTGGTTGGTGGACCTAGCAAGGGTACTAGATTCCGTCCACTCTCTTTGGACGATGTACCCAAGTTATTGTTCCCAATCGCAGGTAGACCAATGATCTATCATCACATTGAGGCATGCTCAAAGGTCAAGGGTATCACCGAGGTCATCCTACTCGGCTTCTTCCCAGAGAATCAGTTGGCTGCCTTTATCGACGCAACTTCAAAGGAGCTCAACGTTCCCATCAGGTATGACCATGATCACATAGCATAGCATTAGCATAGCACTTACAGATCGATAATATATTTAGATATATCAATGAGGTTAAGGTGCTGGGAACTGCTGGAGGACTTAGCAGATACCGCGATCAGATATTGTCTGGCTCACCAGACTATGTGTTCATCCTGCACTCTGACATCTGCTGCTCATTCCCAATGCAGTCATTGCTTGAGTTCCACATCAAGCATGGCAAGACATGCACCATCATGGGTATGACCGTCGAGAAGAAGGAGTACGCCAATCAATACGGCTGTCTCATTCGTGATGAGAGCACCAATGAGTTGCTGCACTATGCTGAGAAGCCAGAGACCTTTGTGTCTGACTGCATCAACTGTGGAGTCTACTGTATCACACCAGCCTTCTTTGACACGATGGCCAAGACCAGCAATGAGCTTCAACTCTCAATGCAGAATGTATCCTTAGAGTATCCGTATGTATGATTGAATGATTGAGTGATGGGAGTGAGTCACGGCAGAGCACTAACACGTGATCGATCACATAACAACAACAGAGAGATCCTTAAGAAGGGAGTCGAGCAGGGTCGTCTTAGACTTGAGCAGGACATCTTTGTGCCATTGGCTGGCTCTGGATCGATTGTAGTATATCCTTACACTGGCTTCTGGCGTCAGATTAAGAATGCAGGGTATGAATATGAATGATGCCAATCAATCAATCAATATGTATGATCATACACTAACTTATTAATTGATCAATCAACATTTTAGATCACCAGTGTATTGCCAGGAGTTGTATTTGAACCATTATGCCAAGACTAAGCCAGAGGCTTTGTCCAAGGGCGAGAACATCACTGGCAACGTAATCATCCACCCCTCAGCCACAGTGGACCCAACCTCAAAGATTGGACCCAACGTGTACATTGGACCAAACGTCAAGATTGGCAAGGGCGTCAGAGTGCTCAACTCTATAATATTGGATGAGACTGAGGTCAAGGTATGTCCATCATCCATCCTCATGTGGCGTGTGTCCGCACCTCAACTCCGTACTAACAATCATATGACCGTAGGACCGCGCATGTATTCTTTATAGCATCATTGGATGGAGAAGTGAGATTGGATTCTGGGCAAGAATCGAGGGTATTCCAAACTATACTCCATTCCTCTACAGCCAGGACAAGAGAAAGGGTATCACAATCTTTGGCGCTGGCGCCCAGGCCAACGGCGAGATTATTGTCTCAAACTGCATCGTCATGCCTCATAAGCAATTGGACAGGAACTACAACAACGAGATCATCCTGTAGACTATCAATCAAGAGTCCTCCAGTATCACTCGCACAACAACATCAATAGCAACAGCAACAACAACGCCAATGAATAATAAATAAGAATAAGGAATCATTCCAACACCATCCATCCAATCAAGCCAACCTGATCTGCTGATGATGATGATGAAGATGACCTGTCTGCTATGTTATATATAATGTAATGTAATGTAATGTGAACATCGTACTATCCACTTGATTAGATAGTAGTATATTGGTATGTAGAGTTGGCATTCGAGCTAGCTCCTTCCAAGTATATAAGGTTAATTGTGACACTGAGTATATTGCTATCGCTATTGCTATCGCTATCTCCTCTATATCTACTTCTCGTTTGGCAAAAAGTAGATTGGGTCGGCCTTGACCTCCTTGATGTACTCCTTGGTGGCAGCCTCCCAAGCTGGTCCGTGGGACTCGTGTGGGCCTAAACATTATTCGATCATTCATCATAATGATTGATTGAAAATGATTGATTATCAATGATTGATTGATTGAGTTGTCGATATGTTAATCACCTGTTGTTCTGTATTTGTTGCGCGCAGCAAGCAGTGCATATCCCATATGGGATTGAATGGCATGTCGCGTCGCCATTACACAATGTAATGTGATCGATCACTATTCCCCCTGCACGTGCTTTAATCTGCGTCTTCTTTGTCATTGTGATGATGACTATGCTGTTCAACCTACGCTTGGTGGATCTGGCGGTGGCGGTGATGAGGGCAGCGACACCCATGGTGGCGGCAATACCAATGCAGGTGATGTAGCCCTTTGGCAAACCGTAACCCTCGAGCTTGGTGATGGTGTATGGGTAGCCGTGGAAGCCACGTGGGAATCTAAGCTTGAACTGCTCGGTCATTTTATAGAGAATCTCTGTAAACTGTTTAAGTTATCTGTAATATATTTTTGTAATTATCTCAATGAATGTCGTCTGTATATTTGATAATGGGAGTGAGTGAGTGGAGGCGGGCAACAGAGAACGGGGTGGTGATGCGAGATCACTCCCAACACAGTGTTTTGGGTGTTTTGTTAATTCTGAAAAATAAGACGAAACGATCACGTGTGTGATTCTCTGGCAACGTTACCCCATCAAACTGATCGTGGTGGGCTATGAGTGTTTATTAGATTGATTGGTTGGTCAAGTAAGTGTTGTGTTCCAACAATCGATCACACATGTTGATGATGCGAAGATTTCCATTCAAACAGGAATGACGACGAACTACTCTGAGCAACATGGTCATGTTCATCTGGATCACTGATCTTTGAAATGCTGACTGTGATCTAGGAAGTGGACCATCAACACCAACATCAACATCGCCTTCAAACAAGTAACTGAGTACCTTGTGATGATTGCTGTCTGATGCATAGTAAATGGCCTTCATTGATGGAAGATGTCTTTTGAGTTGTGTTGGTGTGGTGCATCGCTGATGGACAACTCGTATGATGTCCAACCTGCCATTCTCACAAGCCCGATCGATCAAATGCACAAGGGCATCAGATTTGACATCATCCACACTGATATGTCCATGGTCAAACAGATGATTGAGTGCTGATGTGTTGCAAAATAGTTCCAATCTGATATAGTCTGGGAATCTGTGATCATCCTCCATTCCATAATACAACCTCTTGTTGCAAACTCTTTGAGCGATTTGAACCAGATACTCCAATGCCTCATTGTCTCCTCGATTGATACAAGCCTCAACGACCATGTGGAAACATTGACTGCCAAGCATCAAATGAACCGCACTGTTTGGATTTGTGTAATAGTCCTTTGAGTATTGCTCCATGATCAACTTGATCAGAGTGAGTGACTTTGATGCAGCACTGGTTAACAACTTGGCCAACTTCTTTGGTTCCAATTGCTCCTCGGATTGGTCCAAATGCTTGGCAAACTCAATGATCAAATCTTCCGTCACCATGCTTCCAGGCAAGCCAACTCGATCAATCAAAGAGCCAAGATGACTGGAATTGAGAATTCTGGTCGCTGTGTCTTTGCTCAATATGGTCCTGATATTGTCCACATTGCCAACCTCTGCAGCCTTCTTGAGATCCTCTGGGGTGTTGGCGTCTGGCTGCTCAGCGGGCATTTGGAGGGACACTGACAAGTTGATGTAGGGAAGTGCCTTCAGTCGATCAATCAAGTCAGTTGATTTGATTGAAGGATGAATTTTGTCAATGTTATATTCCACTGGCAAGTCTGGCTGTGATGACAGGGCGGTGAGTATGAAGTTGGCCACATCCAAATGTCCTTTCTCGAACACTTCAGACATTAAGTCTTGGTTTACAATGTCCATTGAGTCTCTATAGCAGGTATCCTTGGCCATGGCCTTCATACAATGTGAGTGCATTCGCTCGACCATGCCCAAATGTCCATTCTGTGCCGCCAGTGTGAAATAATCTCTCAGATCGTCGAGATCCCTGAATGACTCTGGCTCGTGCCTTACAATTGTATTTGATAATATGTCCAGATAATCCTGTCGACCATGTTTGCAACATAGATTGATCAAAGAGCAACAATTAAAATCCGAGTTTTTGGCATCCAACAATCTTTGAACAATATTCGAATCTTGTCCAAGATAGAATTGGATGACCTGTGCCAGGTTATGCTCCATCGACTTGTCAAGTATATGGGTATGGAAGTAGGGTGAGATGATTAATCGTTGGTCCATCAACTGGAGCATCTCCAATGCCCATTGTTTGTTCAACCAACCATTGTTGCCGATCATCGAGTCGAAGTATTCTTGTGAATGAAGAAGTGGGAGTTTGGCGCCATGTTGAATGAGTTTGCGAAGGAAAGATGGATGTCTGACCAATGCCATGTCCGATTCCCTTAATTCAATAGTGGACAAGGACGAGGCATATTGATCAAACATAGTCTCCCATTGTGGATGGGTGCATGATGATATATGCTTGAAAATCAACCTACTCTGTTCATCAGTGAGCCTTATCTCTGGGTTGGCCAGAAGTACCTCGACCGCACGAGTGTCACACTTGGACATAGCGACTTGCAACAATGTTGAGGCTCCACCCTGCATGATATAGCCCACAACATTTGATGGAGAGTAGTACTTGAGGAACCATTCAGTGGCACCATACTTGATGTAATCAATTAAACAATGTCTGTCAATCAACTGTGATCCTTTGATCAAATGTTTGTCATTGATTCCAAGTGACTTGTGAACACGTCCAATCTGTTCCATGACCATCATACCAAGCTTGGTGTCTCTGAACACTGTGTGGAATGCTGTCTCCATTGATAATGATGATATTGCTTGATAAACATGGAGTCCTTGATCAATCAGAGTTTTGGACTTTACACTGTAAGTTTGATTGATTGTTTGATAAAGAGCGAGTTTGAGTGAATGATTGATGGATACCAATGATGCTGTTGCTGAACTTACAATTGATGGACTGAGAGCGTTCGCAACTTGATCTGATCAGTGCACATCATGATCAGTCGAGGAAAGTCATGTTGGTAACCAATTTTGAGGATCGAGTGGAGTACTCCTAATTGGTGTACACATGACTTGTCGATGAATGTCTTCGAGTTGAAGTAGTGCTCCATCGTGCGATAGCAATTGTGTTCAGCCATTGAGTTCAACGTCTCCAGCGTTGGTCTAAGCAATGGCTTGGTCTTGTCATGATCAAACAAACGTTCTAGCAATCGGACATTGTCGATCCTGTCCTTCACCAGTGCTTGGTAAATGATGTTTGCAATCTCCTTGTCATTGAGTTGCTCGCGAGTGAACTGATTGATCACATATTCAAACACTTCCACGTGAGGATTGCTTGCGGCACACACACACAACCTAACGCAACTTCTAACGTAGTCCAGGTGATTGAGAATGAGTTTCACATCAGACAATGATGTTGATGGGTGGGCAACATATATAAATGCTGACACTTTGGCATCATGGCGATCAAGGTACTTGGTGTCGCTAGCGTTTTGAAAGAGAAACTCAAATGTCTCGCGACATCTGCTCTCCAACGCCTTGGAAACACCTTGGTAGGGCACATTGAAGCGGGTATAAAGCTCCTTCATCACTAAAGCTGAGTAGCCTGCAGCAGCCCTCATTGCCAAATCAAGTGAACGAGGTGATTGATGATTGCAATTGGCAATGAACTGGAGAACAATGTCGGCAGTGATTTTGCTGCCTTTCCTGCCAACGGCCGTGATCATGTTGGCGAGTGAGCTATTCTTGAAGTTCAGCGGGGTTGCGCGAGGACTTGAGATGAAGGTTGCCATCTTGTGGGACATCCCTTGACACATCAATGGTCCCAAATCATCAATCTGATCAATGAGTGTCTCGAGCGCTGCCATGTTCTCAATGTGTAGTGCTGTCAATGGTCTAAGTTGAAGCCTCGCGGTGGCCAGGCTCACATTCGTTGGTCCACTGCCACTGGCCGATCGGGGTAATCCCAAGAGATTGAGTACCTGATTCTCACAACTCTGCGAGATGTTGCCATTGCCAAAGTGATGTTGGAGCAGATGCTTGATGAATGTCTCTTGTCCATTGTCCTTCGCCGCGTCAATGATATTCTTGATATCCCTCCCGTTGGTGAGGTACTCTGCGCCAAAAGATGTACTGATGAATGATTGGAACATGTCGATGTTGCCAGACTTGGCACATTTCTGAAGACACTTTGAGAGCAGCTGCACAGGAAAGTGTATCTGGGCCCTGGATGGCATGTTGTCCAAAATGTATTGAACACTGTCAATAATGTTACACCTGGTCGAGTGCAGGAGTGCAGCCTGCCAGAGCTCAGTCAGATCAAACAGAATGTGGAACTCCTCGTGTAGCAGACGGAGCATGGCAAGGCGGATACCACGTCGCTCTAAACTATGCCTTAATCCGATTCGGTTGTCTTCATCATCACCGACGACAGTGAAGTGTTGTAGGAGCAGACGAACAAACTCCACATTGCCCGAGTCAATAGCCAATGGAAGGTTTCTCATAGAGCTAGCTTGGGGTAACAGGCGGTGGCCTGTGGCTGCGAGGTAGGACTGAAGAATGTACAAGTTGCCATATCTGAACATCACATCGAACTCAACACAAGTGGCTTCAATCTTCATTCTACTGATCAGATGATTGAATACAGTCACATTGTTGTAGTGTGCAGCTTGCCTCAACAGATTGTTATTGTCGATGGGGTAGTCGTCAGCGATGCTGTCAAAAGTCTTGATGAACATATCAGTGGCGTTGAATCGCAACATGTCAACGAGACTCATGTTGTGAAGTTGACTCCCTTTGATTAATGATTTGATCATAGGTATGTTGCTGTTTTTGTTGTTGTTGTCATTGTTGTTGTAGTAGTCATCATACTCTGACGATTTGATTGATGGCTGTGGAAGATTGATCCATATCTGGTGCATATCAGTCACATGTCCAATGATGATGTTGACCAACAAGTGATTGTGGAACACTTGGTTGATACAACTTGTGTCCTTATCATTCATCATTATTTGTTTGTTTGATTGTTTGTTTGTTTGTTTGATAAAGATGATTCTGTTAATGAAACAACGGAGCACGTCACCTCCTTTATCCTCGTCATCATCACCATCAGATATTTTGTAAAAGAGGATGTTACTTTATGTCGTGATGGCACCTTCACACCATTCGTAAAGAGGTATCTATCCTGAGTTGTTGGACATCTTTGCTCACTCACACTCAACAACTTGACACTGCTTGGTGAATCTCATCTGGGGTTGGACTCTGCGCTGATCAATATGTTAAATGGCAACTTCTTTTCATCACCAGACAGCACATTTGAGTTCAAGGGTGTTGGCCAAGGTATAGACCACCTTGCCAATGTTGTCATCTCCATCAACAGTCACATTCTTCTTCCACGGTAGGGCCAAGGTCACTTTCCCTACTCACTCTCCTCGACACTATTCATACCAATTGATCCAATTGACCAGTGTCCCATTGTTACAACCAACTGTGTTACCATCCAGTTATGAGTGCTCAAATCTTGCATTCCCAAACAGACACAAGATTGAAGTGAATAGTACTACACTTCTGTATGTCACTGAGAAAACTAAATATGATTGGAGTGTTCATTGTTGGAGACACAATTATCAGTGATGTTGAAGTTTGAGTTGTTATTGATCGACAAACTCACACTTATTACTCTTCCACTTCAATTTTCAAGTTATATGGTGATGCACATCACTGGAATGATCTTTTCCAAAGATAGTAGATTAATTCATTCATCCATTCATTTATTCAATCAAATATATATATATATATGTAATATATATTAGTATGACTACTCTTAAATATATTGTTGTCTTTATTTTTGGTTGCAACACCTTCAGACTGTTTAACTCAGGAAAGTGATGTCAATGACACTTTGCAGAACAAGATAACAAACAACACTCAACTTAAGTCAGATGGTGGCTCTACTTACTACTATAATGTTTCCACTTGTGCCACTAAATATTCATGTTTCATTGAATTCAATGATCCAGGTCATTAGATTGGTTCAAATAGACCATCTTGCACAAACCCTCTAGATGTGGTGATAGTATATAATGATATGTTAATTATGCCTCAATATCTATTGGAAATTGTGTACTTGGCATGATCAACCTGAGATCAATTTCAACAACTATCTACGCTCCAATGCCGTCCACCAAGAATATGACTCCTCCTCAATGTGTGTGGATGGCTCGTGCTGGCGCTGCTTTGTCTCTGGCGCTCACATTGCGTCGCTATCGCGACTTCATTTCTCACTGTCAGAAGTTTCAATACTGATTAAAAACTTATATAAATATTTTTATAGTTACTTAGTTAATTAAGTTAATACAAATAATGGAAAAGTACTGAAATAATATTAATAGGGAT